ATCCGGGCTACCATCCTTGTGTAGGTGGCGCCGGAGTTCTTGAGCCCAAAGGCCATGACGAGGTAGCAAAAAATTCCCTCCGGGGTCATAAAGGCAGTCTTCTCCGCGTCATCTTCGTGCATGGATATCTGGTGGTACCCTCTGAACGCGTCGAGGAACGACATCAACTCGCACCCCGCCGTCTCATCCACCAACTGATCAATGTTGGGGAGAGGGAATGGGTCCATTGGGCACGCCTTGTTCAAGTCAGTGTAATCAACACACATTCTGAACGTAGGCGGCTTTGGGGCGAGGACGACGTTCGCCAACCACGTGGGGTACTTCACCTCTCTGATGTGCTTGATGTTGAGCAGCATGGCCACCTCGGCCTTGACAAATTCCCTCCTGTCGGCTGAGAGGTAGCGCTTCTTCTGTTTGATGGGGGAGGAGGCCGGGTTCACCGATAGCCGATGCGTGATAACCTTTGGGCTGATGCCCGGCATGTCCTCTGGTCCCCATGCAAAGACGATGGCGTACGCTCTCAGGACAGAGAGGATGTCCCTTCGGATCTGTTGGGGGAGCTGTGTCCCAATTTTCAGCATTCGTTCCGGCCGGGAGACGTCCAACGGAACATCTTCCACGTGTCCGACCGGTTCGGCCTTTGGTGTGTCTTCTTCGGCCAAGGCGGTGGTGATGGTGTCTATCCGCTCCTCGGCTTCATTGATTTTCCTTGTGAGCTTCAGGTAACAAGCCCTGGCTATCTTCTAGTTCCCTCTGGCGTAGCCGACGCCGTCCTTGGTGGGGAACTTGAGGCATAGATGTCTCATGGAGATGATGGCCTCAAGGTCCTCCAAGGCCGGTCGTCCCCAAATCATGTTGTGGGCGCTGTCCAGGTTGACAACCACGAACTCCATGTCAATCTTCGCCTGACAGGTACCGTCACCGACCACAACGGGAAGCACTATCGTGCCCTCGGCGTCGATAGAGTCCCCGGTGAAGCCGGATAACGGAGTCCGTATCGGCCGGAGCTCGGTTTTCTTCAGCTTCAGCTGTCTGAACGTATCAACGTACATCACATTGACGGAGCTGCCAGTGTCGATGTAGTTGCGGTGAATGATGTTGTTGCCAATCTCGCATTTGATGACGAGGGCGTCCCTGTGGGGCAAGGGGCCGCAGGGTAGGTCTTTATCGGTGAAGGTGATGGCCTCCATGTGCCGTCGCTTCGGCTGAGGGGGGGCGTGGGACACCTCACCAACGTATAGGGACTGAGCCCATTTTTTCCGTTGGGTAGCCGAGTCCCCCCCTGTGTTCCCGCCGACGATGATGTGAATGTGATGCTTCTTCTGGCGGGGCTCCTCTTCGTCCTCATCTTCACTGAGGGCGCCGATCTCCCTCTTTTTCCCGGAGGATCCTTCCCCCCTTTTGCCAGGGTTAACCCAAGTGTTACTCTTGGGGGCACCCTTGACAAATTGGGAAAGTTCCCCCTGTCGGATGAGGCCGTCGATGTGCCTCTTCAAGGTGGTGCAATCCTCGGTCTTGTGGGATGTCTGGCGGTGGTACTTGCAGTATGTCCCTCCTTTGTGGACCGCAAATATCTCCTCCTCTGACCTGGGGTCCTTCACAATGAGGCCCTGCGCCTCGGCATGGTCAAGGACGACGCTCACCGGGTGGGTGAGGGGGATGCGCTGTGCCTCCAACTTTGGGCGCCATGAGCGGTCCTCTCTCCGCTGTCCGCCTTGTTCCTGGTGTGCCTTCTTTGGCTGGTGCTGTCCCTTGTTGGCCGACGGGTGGTGGGGGTTGGACGAGGAGTCCTTTTTTTGTTGCTTCTCCCCACCCTTCTTCTGGTTCAGGAGCTCGTCGGCATCAGCGTGCCTATCTCCGCGTCGGAGCGCCGCGAGGTATGACCGCGGCGGCTCCGTGAACAGGCTCCGGGCGAAGTGGCTAGGCCTGAGTGCTCCGCGGAGGAAAGCCAAGAGAGTGCGCTCGTCGGCCCCTTCACATTCGTCCGCCTCCCTTGTCCAGCGATCGAGGAAGGCTCGGAGTGTCTCCTCCGTTTGTTGTTTGATGGTCAGGAGGTGGGCGAAATGCTTCTTCGCACGCTTCCTCCCGGCAAAGTGGGTGAGGAAGCGCTGAGCAAGGTCCTGCCATGAGTCGATGCTCCCTTCTGGAAGGTTATTGAACCAATCATACGCTGGCCCTTCTAAGGTGGAGAGGAACCAGCGGCACATGTACTCCTCCGAAGCGTTGGTCATCATCATGTTGTTCTGATAGCGGGTGAAATGCTCCTGAGGATCAGTGCGGCCGTCATATGGCTTGATTGGATTCCCCTTGTACTTCTCTGGGATGGGAGCGGAGAGCACCCTCGCAGAGAAGGGGGTCCGGGTCCGTATTTGGATGACGGGCTCGTCGCGTCGGTCGGCCAACTCCCTCTCCAAGGCACTGACTTTGTGCAGGAGTGCATCGTAGTTGGGATGCTGGGATGTATGAGCCGCTGCGCGCCCTGCGGCCTCCCGGGCCTCCATATCCGCGAGGCGCTTTTCCAGGCGGGCGATGATCTCGTCCCTTGGGTCCGTGTTGGCCGCAGCGCCACCCAGCGGTGTCTGGATCCGGGCCGCGTGGGCCAAGTCGATCTGATGACGTGCATCATTATCATTCAGTTTTCCCTTTCCTTTGTCTTGCCGGGGCCGATCCGTTGTCCGGGAAACGGACCCGAAGCTTTCCTTTGGTGATCCCGGCTCGCGGCCACCCAACCGATCCGCCACCCTTCCCGTAGGTACCCGACGACTCGCGATGTCACCCAGCCTGTTGAAGGCCGAGATTTTACCGCGAGGTTGGGCCGGTGTATCCCGGGTAGGAGAGGCGGTATGGGAGTGGGTGTCCACGGCGAGGACGTCTTCGTCGTTGCCGAAGAAGGTGACGCCTTGTGGCCGAGGCGGGGGTGGTGGCACCGTCGCGACTTCCCCAGTCACGGGAGTGTTGTTCTCCCCTGTCTTTGCGACGAGGGCGCTGACGACGTTGGGGTCCTGGAGAATGCTTGCGACGATGGCCGATAGTGCGGCCGGGTTGATCTGGGGGGCAGCAGGGTGAGAAACCTGCTGGCCCGAAGCGCGATCAGCATTGCGCTTGTCCTCGAGCCCGATGCGGGCGTCTGGGGCAGTCTTGTTGAGCTGGGTGCGAAGGTCGGCCGCTGCGAGCTCGACCTCCTGAGCGTTCTCATCCTGAATGATGAGATCATTGGGGACGTTGTCAGCAACGTTTCCCTGCCCTTCCTGGTTCAGAGGGGCATTCCTTCCGGTGTTCTTTGACCTAGTTCTTGTCATTCTGTTGCGTCTAGTAGCGACGAGGGGTACTCACTTGATCTGTTCTAAACTCTCAATGAAAGCACCAAATGATAGAGTATTAATTCTAGAGAGAAGTGAGAGCTAGAGAGAGAAAGTGAGTAATTATATTTCTCAACTTGGAACCCCCTATAATTAGCCCCTTGGGGTCTATTTATAGGTAAAAATGTGGATTTGGGCCCCTAGCCTTGGGCTTAGGAGGCCCATTACAATAATCATGCCTTCTTTGGGCGAATAAGGCCACTAATGGGCTGAGTACAACACTTAGTACAAAAAATGGGAAAATACATTCTGCCCGGACGAAGTCCGGACGAAGCGGTCCATGGACGATGCGGTCCATGGACGAAGCGGTCCATGGACGATGCGGTCCATGGACGATGCGGTCCATAGAAATCAGGCGATGTCTTCTCTTTTGTACATCACGTGCCTTTGGCCGATGCGGGTGCCCCGCTGGTGTCTTTTGGGCCACTGAGTATGTGGGCTATGGGGTCCAGGCCCATGTACTCTATCACCTGTATACACAGTGATATACAGTGATATAAAAAAGTGCTTTGATAAGTATCAGGGACGTATATGTGTATGTAGGGGATCCCAGATTTTCAACTAATTAATCATTCCACAAATGGCAATCCATTAATTAGTGGATTACTTTTGTTAGCCTGTACATCTTTACTTGTTTAGTTCTTTTATTAAATGGTTAGTGACTAGGGAGGAGGGTCTAGGCGTCTAGCCGTTTAGGTATACAAGTATGCAATGTAATTAGAGTAATTATTAGTGCAATACAACTTATACAACTATAAAGTATCGATCTGATTTATGATTTACTCAAACAACTTATTTACTAATTTAGGCGTGTAAAATTATAAATTTATTATAATAATACATTGTGAATGTATTAAAACAACTACATTATACCTTTCAACAAATAATACTTTATACTTACTCAAACAACTCAATTACTCGTGCAAAATTTTTATGTAGTTGAATTATGATATACGGAGTATGTGAGTTTGATAAAAATACTGAATATTTATAATCTTAATATCTTATTTATGAGAGTAGAAATTTTTATTTATGAAGCATTTACTTATTTATAATTTCATCCGTCCCACTAAGATTGTCTAATCTTTCTTTTCCGGTCCGTCCTACTAATATTTTTCATATCAAATTTGATAAAATTTGTGTGATTTTAAGTCTTTTTTTATTCTTAATTTATCAATCATATCAAAGCACTTTTTTAATAACCATACGCCCTTCTCTCTTCTCAATCATATCAAAGCACTTTTTTAATAACCATACGTCCTTCTCTCTTCTCAATATTAGTAGGACGGGGGTAGTATTATTTTGAACGAAAATGTAGGTTTTTTGTGACGGGAAAACGAAAACATGACTTGGAGTACATGTGTACAAAGAGAAGAACAAAGTAACAAATGACTGATTATAAAATCGTTTGTTAGCTCTATGGATCTATAGGTATTAAGAAACAAAAAGTCTATATGATTGTCTAGGGCCTCACAATTGCTCTAGACGGCCCTGAATTCATGCCGTGATAATCCGTGCCGGTGCCAAATTCGTGTCAAATCCGTGCCAAATTCATACTTTAGAATTTCATAGGATATGATGCTGATCTTTTACGTATTTCAGAATTAATGGAAACTCAAATGTAACCATGTATAGGCTAGGCAAATTAATTTAATTAGAGGATCTCAAAAGAATAGTGGCAGCAAAGAATGAAAAAAGAAAGTATCATAAATTAAGGCATAGTAATAAAAATGAGAAATGGAACTGAACCATCAATCACGAATCGCTAATAGTCCTTTGGGCATAGAAAACATATACGGAGTATAACTGTATAAGACATGAGGCATAAAAAATTAAGCAGAATCTGGGATGATGGTTGTGACGTGCCAGACCGCGACATCCTCTCCCTCCTCACGGGGCAAAAACTCACAGACTAACCTATCATTTATGTCTACGAGATTTCGTTGGCATAGACTCATCCAACCCCCGGTCAACCATGTTCGTCCATCGCTCCAAACCTTTGTGTTTGTTTTCCATTCTATTCCTCTTGGGTCACGCAGAATTATAGATGTAGGCAATGTGATATGCTTGATCACAACCGTTCGTATGTACTGCAGGGTCACCCAGATATTCAATGTTATTGTTATTTTTATTTAGTCATGAAAACACTAGCACAGTCCATTACTCATTTTTATATCAAATGTTGGGATTTACCAAGTCATTACGCCTTCCTCGATGAATTTTTGTCACAAAATAAGGGTTTGTTGGTTGAGCACAACACCCATATATACTTGAAAATATCAAGTTCATAATGATCAGGGACATCCTTAATTTCCACCTTGGACTATCTCTCCCCAGCACAGTCATCTCTCCTTTGCCATCGTCCTGTATATATAATCAAATGAAAATTTCACAAACAAAACTACAAAAACACATGTTCGACAGGTAAAAAATAAAAACTACAAGCAGTTTGTATGGGTTGTGTCTCTTTAAATTACTTACTCTTCTAATGCGAAACTCCGGGCGTATCCGATGCTACCGCCTCCTCTTCGTCTTTCCCGTTACCACCATCACCACCACCACCACACCAATTGTATGCGTCATCAAATCTAACACTATGATCACCACCGGCCTCCACATCGGTTTCTTTCTTGATTTTTTGAATGATAGAAGTGTTGCCTGAATCCACCGGAAGAGCTTTCGGTGCCTTCCCACTTTCATTGTTTTGCTTCCTTTTTGTGACAACGAGCTTCACATTCTGAAGGCTGCCCATCTCGATCGATCAATCCCTTTAAACAGCTGATAAGCTAGAATGACAATTCGATGGCCAGGTTGAGTATAGAAGGCACACACATAACATACAATCTATATGTTTTCTGATCTGTATGTTTAAATTAAGTTTGAACGTAACAAGATAGCTATAGTCACTGTTCTAAGAATCGACCTAGTCGGACCGATTAATCGGCCTAGTCGGTCCTCACTGTAGAGGCTAGTCGGCCAAAAAATCGGTCTAGTCGGCCAAAAAATCGGCCTAGTCGGCCGACTAGGCGCTAGGCGCCCCTCAACCGCCCGACTAGCGCCTAGCGAGTTTTAGAACAATGGCTAGAGTCGATGGGGAGTTGCGTTATACGGAGTATTATAGACAGGACTAAACTTTGGGTTATTTTGAAGGACACATGTCCTACATGCAGCCCGGGATGACTAACCTATCACAATAGACTAACCTTCATATATACAACAAAATGAGACACATCTAAAAAAAAAGTAGGCTTTTTATTACTCCCTGGTAGTTAAGCATCATCTATATATAGATTTGGTTAATTCAAATAAATGTGCATAGTTCGTACAGTATGTGTGGAAGATTCATTTTGAACAAAGACTATGACTCATAATATATAAACAATTTTCTCAACACAAAACATACATTTAGTTTTGCAAAATCCACAAAAACACAAGAGGCGCACGTGACTTGCACGACCGAGTATCTATTATTTTTCGTGCGAAATCTACCAATTAGAAGCTACCGATCGAGGGAAATATACATGTAAAAGCTAAGTATAATCTTTTATTCTCAATGCTAGTGTAACACCCCCATTTTCCCTCCCAAAATAATACTTGAAATAATAGATTTGTTGATAATAAACTTTATTTATTCATTCAAAATAGGTAAAAAGTTCTGCAGCGGAAATAACATTAATTGGGAAATGGGTGTTACCGCCACATCCGGTCATCTCTTAACCGAATGCACAGGCAATCCCAAAACAAAACAGAATAAAACAAGTGTTCAACATAATAGAATTATAATTCTTGACTAGGTTTGACTAAGGCATTTCTAAACCGCTCTCGTGGTCATACAATCATCAGTGCACATAAGCATCATCACCTGCACAAATAAAGTGCAGAAAACAAAACAGGGAAAAGGGAACAAAAATTAGCTTTAGAGCTAAGTAAGTACTACCCAACCCCGTAAAATAATCAGGTTTGGAGAAAAATAGTTTTTCATATAATACTATATAAAAATGACACACTCCACCAAAATTCTTTTCTCTTTGATATTTCTCAAAATCACTTCTTTACTAAAGTCCTCAACTTTTCTTTGAAAATAATATAGTAACTCTTCCATAGTCTTCCTCTTTCCAAAATCAAAATCTCCTACTTTCTTTTAAGATGAGCTGTACTTTCGGATACTTATGCCCGAAGCCCAATGAGTCGTTTGTTATTTACGAACTCATCCCAGAATCCGGTTCCCATCACTATCTCTTGAATCGAAACGACTACTAAACTTGTTCTCTTCAAGTAGTAGTAGCCCTAACAATCCTCCACATTTATCCGGATGTGAAAAACCGACACCACGGATTTCTCCCGGGGTGCTCGCCTCTTATGAAAATGTTAATTTTCATCTTGAATCAAGATATACTTCAAAATATTTCCAACCTCTCTAAATAGTCTCAACGGTATTTAAAAATATTTAATACCCCAAAAGTACATAATTTGTAGTTCTCAAATACTATAGTTTTAATCTCTTTAAATAGCACATATACATAATTCAAAATTCACACTTTAATCACATAGCACATAATAATCACATAGCACAGAATATTTCTCAAGTCTCCAAATATTCTCAATGGTGTTTAAAAATATTTAATACCCTATATCTCAATTTTCTCAAATATTATAAATTAATGTCACTTCAAATAATACATATTCAAAATTCACATTTTACTCAAATAATAACATATAATACGAGGAAACCATTTTGGATCGGCAGAGAAACTTACCTTAATTTGCAATAAATCCTATTTGAAGCATTTATCTCGATCTTCAGAATCACCTTCTAGAATGTTAAAATTCTAACATTAATAATTACTCCGTATTATAATCCTCTCGGTAATCCTCAATTTATGAGTTAATTATCCCATTTATAATTTAAATTCTGTAATTCTCATTAATCCAGTTTATTCCACTATATCAATAATAGTCACTCCATTTATTTATTAGTCCCATATTGAGATAATGAAGCCTCGGTCCAACACCTTACTTAAAATATCTAGCTCAACAACACTAACGTGATACAGGGTAAGTGGTGACTCACAGTTTGCCATCTTCTTCGACGATATTGACGCAGAGAAGAGGAAGTCCTTAGCGCAGCTTCCACACGTCCTCGGCTACTGCAGACATCCAGCGACCCGTTTCCATATGGTGGCGACGGTAGCGGTCCAGCTACTCCTCTACTCCAGCGTGGTGGCGACGCAGGACGGCGCGTCTTAGTTGTCTTTCCCGGCGGCGAGAAGTGTTTGGCTGTCAGTCCAGTGCCCGTCACGACCTGGCGGTTCCCTCCCTCTCCAGCACAGAAAACTAGTCCGGCCGAAATTCCGACAAGATCTTTCTCCCTCTGGTGGCGATCCACTCTTTATATTAGTCTCTATTTACCCCTTCTTCTCTCGCTGGCCGAAGGTTTAATTAAATGATTTCTGGTATATATATATAATTATATGATCGTATATATATATTGTAAGTATATCTTTAGAAGTGAGGCGTGGGTGTACATGGTTCGTGGACTGTATGTATTTTTATAGGAGGGTGAAAGGTTCTAACTAGCTTCATATCATTCACCTCATCCGCTCAATTTGAATATGGCATGTGTATTGGTCGTTAGTTACATATGTACTATCTCTATTATCTTTATGTTATCTAGGAGGACATGGCATATGGCATGGATGTGTGATTTGGTCCCTGAGAAGTCAACTCTTGTTTGATACACCACATGTATTAGCTGCAGCATGTTCATGTGCATATGTCTTTATTAGTTTTAGTACTTCCGTATATTATTATTGATATGGCAGATATATTATTTTTGTGTATAATATGCATTATTATTAGGCTTTAGATTCTGATATCACTTTTATTATTTATGACATATGTATAGTTATCACTTGTTATAAAATGTTACTTTTATTATTGGAACATTTTTATCTGATTCACTTAATTATTAAACTGTCACTTACGTAACAATTTTATCTGACTAATAAAATTTATTATTTTATTTTAATTTTTCGGGGTATCACAGCTAGCCATTTCTTATAATCAAATATTGTATGTTTAGAATATATAGGTGTGATCAGAATATATAGGTGTAATCAAATACCGAAATACAATTCAAGCAGCGGTTTGTTGTGTTGTGTCTCTTTAAACTTACTCTTCGAATGCGGAACTTCGGGTGTATTCGATGCCACCGCCTCCTCTTTGTCTTTCCGGCTACCACCACCACCACCACACCAATTGTATGCATCATCAAAATTAACACCATGATCACCACCGACCTCCATATCAGTTTCTTTCTTGATTTTTTGAATGGTAGAAGTGCTAGCTGAATCCACCGCCCAAAGAGCTTTCGGTGCCTTTCCACTTTCATTTTTTTGCTTCCTTTATGTGACAGGAACCTTCACATTTTGAACGCTAGCCATATATCTCAATCAATTCCGCCGCAGATAAATTGTGGTTCGATGGCCATTCGGGTGACTCAGCAAGGTGTGAGCGCAGCTCAGTTCTGATGGAGAGTTCTGTTACACTAGTTGTCTTACGTTATACTGTCTTACAATCAATTATGGACATGACTAAACCTGGGTTATATTGAAGGACATGTGTCTTACAAAAATACGCTTTCAAATATGGTGACAACTCCGGTACCTTTTTAAAAAATGGGGTACCGTACCTACCATTCATTTGATTGGACCACATCATTTTATCATTTTTAATTTAGATTTAAATAATTCAACTACAACATTCTCATTGGTCCATGTGCACAAAGGTATGGTACCTTATGGGTACCATAGAATTTACCTTCAAATAAATGTGCATACTTCGTACAATATGCGTGGAAGATTCATTTTGAACAAAAACTATGACTCATAATATATACGATAGTATACAGTTTTTTCAACACAAAACATACATTTTGTTTTGCAAAATCCACAAAAACACAACTGGGCACGTGACTTGCACGACGGAGTATCTATTATGAAGTATTTTTCTTGTGAAATCTATCGTTTAGAAGCTAACGAGGTTACGAGGGAAATATACCTGTAAAAGCTAAATATAATATCTTATTCTCAATGCTAGCTGTTTCTTGTAATCAAATATTGTATGTTAGTTCTTTGATATGGATTTAAAGTTAGAACGGTATGTAGCTGATGGGGAGTACGTTATAGACGGTACGAAACAACGGAAATTGAATTTTATAGATGGGCACGTGTTATAAAAGCATTATATCAATATATCATCATCCGACTCGCACACACAAAACAGATTATGATTAGAGATAGGTCATAGGTGTGATTAGAAATAGGCGCAATTGCTTTCAATTTGATCAGAATAGCGTACTACTTCATCCTAAATTGAGTTGCGAAATTTGACTTTTTTAATTTGAATCAAACAAAGTCATTTTATTCAATTGATTAGGATATCAATTCTTAATTATATTTTAATTTTGATTTCACAACTTTGTAGATATTTTAATGTTGTTTCCAAATATGCAAATTTTAATTATTAAAGTGGAATTAATTATCAACAAGGAGAACTTTACTTTAATATTGGTTGACCAAAAAATGTTAACTTCGCAAATTAAGGACAATTTTCCATATATTTTTCACTTCCTTTACATATATATTTTCCATATTGTTCTTTCAATATTATGTAACATCAATTTTTCACTATGATGTTTTCATCATTGAATATTATAATCATGTCTATGTTTTGACATTTTGTTTCTTTTTCATTAATTCAAAAATCAGATTATTTAGGATATATTCCTCATCTACAAGGTATGGGTAGATTACTATTACATTTCACTTTTAATGATGATATCATGTACATCATCTACCTCAAAATAAGCTTCAAGGTTTCTCTTTGTCTATCCCAATATAGATTTTTTTCTTTCTTTTATGGCAAAGAATATGTAATACGGAGTACATAACTATCGTGTTTAATCTCAACAATTCAACTTTAACCAACACAATTTTCTATTCAATAGAAAATAAAATAAATAGTAAAAGATGTTGAAAAACTAGTGAAATATAAAATATAAATGTAAGGACAAAACTAAAACTCTAAAGAAAAACTCCCTAAGTAGGAACAAAACATACCAAATGTTCTCAAATAAGAATGTTGTTATTTTTAACCGAAAGAACGTCGTTTTTTTAAAACTTTGTTGTTAAAATTTGTCCATGAGTTTAACTGAAATAATACTTCAGGAAAACCTCAAAAAAACATGACATAGATATGACTAAAATATAGACAACTGACAAAAATGTGTCTAATTTTTATATTTGTAACTTTTAGTAATTATGATTGTGTTTCATTTTATATTAGAGTGACTATGACCAGTGACGGAGGCACAAAAACGGCTCAGAGGGGTCGAAACTCATCTTATATACAGAATGAAAATGGTGGATCGTTTTTATGCAATGTCCGAGTTGAATATTTCATATGCAGTTTAGATAAATAGGCACTGGTAACAATAAGATAAAGTGTCTTTGCTCTTCTTCTGAGTCGTGTCGCATAAGTATTGAGTCAATTATACCCTATATTTAAAATTTGGGAAATTATATATAGTATGCATCAAATTTTGCTGATTTTACGTTTAGATAATGCTGATTTTCCAGAAGTCATAATTTCTTACTCGTAATGAGTTACAAGGGTCATAATATATCAAATCGGAGATATTTCGGAGCTCTATACTCTCAAACTTTAATTTCAGCGGGGTCGGCTGACCACCCTGACCCTCCCTTGGCTCCGCCCCTGACTATGACTGTATGTATACGGTAAATATAGTGTAACAAAGTCACATTTTTATCCATAAACTTTATTTGAGTAATACAGTAGGAAAAGCCACTTCAAAATAATCCAATTAATTAAAAAATAAAAAGTACTACATATACATAAATCAAAAATACTTTTTAAATCATTTAGTAGGTAGAAGGTTGTGTATTGGGAAAACTGTCAAATAGGTCCTCGAACTTTCATAAAAAAATCAATTAAGTTTTTATTTAGGAAGCTCTGTCCGGCCGTCGCGATTTGGGGCGGTTCCCGGTGGAATTTTTTGATGAAATTTTTTAGCATCTCATTCATCAAATCTAGTTTACTCATACCAAATTTGAGCTAAAACTTCAATCGGGAACGCATTCAAATTAATTCTTGTGCTTATTTAACTGCACAATTATCTTCAATAATTAATTTGAATGCGTTCGCCTATCGCCCCAAACCTTTGTCTTCGTTTTCCATTCTCTTCCTCTCGGGTCACGCAGGATTATAGATGTAGGCAATGTAATATCCTTCATCACATCCATTGGTATGTACTGCACATCAAACATTCAATGTTATTGTTACTTTTATTTAGTGAAAACACTAGCATAGTCCATTACTCATTTTTTTATATCAAATGTGAATTTACCAAGTCATTGCGCTTTCCTTGATGGATTCTTGTCACAAAATAAGGGTTTATTGGTTGATCATAACACCCATACTTGAAAAGCTCAAGTCCATAATGGTCAGGGACATCCTTAATTTCCACCTTGGACTTCTTTCTCTCCCCAGCACAATCATCTCTCCTTTGACGTCTCCATATATAATCAAATGAAAATTCCACAAATAAAACTACAAAAATACATGTTTGATCGGCAAGTAAAAAATACTACGCAAGAAATACAAGAAGTTTGTAAGTGTTGTATCTCTTTAAACTTACTATTTGAATGCGGAACCTCGGGCGTATCTGATGCTACCGCCTCCTCTTTGTCTTTCCGATTGCCTGAGTCCACCGTCGGAAGAGCTTTCGGTGCCTTTCCTCTTTCATTTCTTTGGTTCCTTTTTGTGATAGGGATCTTCACATTCTGAAGGGTAGCCATATATCTCGATCAATTCCGCAGCAGATAAGCTAGAATGGCGGTTCGAGTTGAGTATAGAAGGTGGCACTAATTGAACATACAATCTGGATTTACAGACGTTTAATTTATACAAGTGGGCAGGCCATCCGCGTGAGTCAGCAAGTGTTAGGAATTAATTTACGCAACACGAAGAACCATTAAAGAACACACGAAATTTGGTAACCCAGTTTTCCACGAATGACTACGTCTGGGGGCGCTACCAAGCCAGGAATATTATTGCTATTTTCGGATCCACACATGATTACAAGGGAGAGAGCTTGTATTTATAGAGAAGTAAAATCTAACCCCAAGGCAACTAGGATGCGTTTCCAAAAATAATTTAAGAAATATGTTTCCAAAAATAAATTCAGAAAAGCTTTGGTTATACAGTCTCTAACATCTTACAATCTCACACCTTGAGACTGTCTTCTTCAAATCCTCCCTTGTTAGCATGGTAGCGCCGGCCTTCAACTTCAAGTACCAAGGCCAATTAAAGCTATGCAAAGCTTCAATTTCTCCAAGGTTACCAGTTACCACCTTAGTAAACATGTTTGCTGGATTCTCACTCCCACGGATCTTCACAAGCTGCAATTCCTCTATCTCCAGAAGATGACGGATGTAGTGATACTTCAACCGAATGTGTTTGGTTCTCTCGTGAAAAGTTGAGTTGTTGGCCAAGAAGATAACACTTTGATTGTCACTGTAAAGAATGTTATTCTTGTACTCCTTCCCAAGTTCCCCAAGTAGATTTTGAAGCCACACCATCTCCTTACTTGCCTCCGTAATGGCCACATATTCAGCTTCAGTGGTAGATAATGCAACAATCTTCTGCAGCTGCGAAAGCCAAGAAACTATCATTCCACCAAATGTAAAAACATACCCCATGGTGCTCCTTGATCCATCCGAATCATTTGATGCCAGGTCTGCATCAACATGTCCCATCAGCTCTACATTCTTCCCATCAAAACACAAAGCATTAAAAGCAGTACCTTTCAAATACATCATGATCCACCTCACAGCTTCCCAGTGTTCTTTCCCGGGGTCTCCCATGTATCTACTCACTACTCCCACCGCATGTGCAATGTCTGGCCTCGTGCACACCATAGCGTACATGATGTTGCCAATTGTCGAGGCAAATGGGACATTCTGCATTTTGAACACGCTCCTCCTTGTTCTTCGGCGAATCTTCCTTGCTAAGTTTGAAGTGATTACCCATTGGTACAATTGCTGCCTTTGCATCTTGCATTCTGAATCTTTCCAAGACCTTCTGAATGTATTCTTTGAAAGAAACAATCTGCCCGCTGCCTCATCCCTCTCGATTCGCATGCCCAAAATCTGCTTTGCCTATCCAAGTTCCTTCATGGAAAAACATTCTGACAACTGTTTCTTGAGCTTTTCAATCTCCTTTGAACTAGCTCCTGCAATCAACATATCATCAACATATAACAGCAAGATAAGATAACAGTTCTCGAACTTCTTGTAGTAGCAGCAATTGTCGGAGTGGCATCTCAAGAAATTTATGTCCCTCATGAAACCATCAAATTTATTGTACCACTGCTTCGGTGTCTGCTTCAACCCATATAAGCTCTTCACTAGCTTACATACGAGATCCTCATTGCCTTCTGCCACGTAGCCCTCCGGTTGCACCATGTAAATCTCATCATTCAGATCACCATGAAGGAATGTAGTCTTCACATCCATCTGATGTAACAATAAATTCTCTGCAGCAACTAACCCCAACACTAATTGAATAGTAGTTAGTTTCACAACTGGAGAGAATATGTCGGTGTAGTCAATACCATACCGCTGCTCGAATCCCTTCACAACCAGCCTAGCTTTGTAGCGTTTGCTACCATCTACATCTTTCTTGAAGAGGTAGACCCACTTGCAGTGCAAAGCCTTCTTTCCTTGCGGTAGCTCAACTAACCTCCAAGTATCATTGGATGTGAGAGATGCCCTCTCATCATCCATTGCAAGCTTCCACTTGCCCTTGTCATCAACCCGAACTGCCTCTGCATAGGACTCCATTTCACCACCATCAGTAAGCAACAAATAGAAATTAGAAGGTGAATACCTATTTGGTGCTCTCCGGTTTTTGGCAAGCCGCTGCCTTGGTGGGGTTGATGGGTCTTCATCACTACTCAACTCTTCATTCTGATCCTGCCTGCTCCCACCCGAATTAGAGATATTCAACTCTATGATCTTCGGACTTTCTTGCTCAGAATCAGGAGCACTCAATCTGTCCTTGTACATAACCTGCTCATTGAACACTACATCTCGGCTACGAACAATCTTCCATTTCTGATCATCCCAGAATCTGTATTCATAGTCATCACCACCATTCTCAACACAAAACATCTTGAACTCATGCAGTTCATACTCACCTCCTTTGTCGGACGGAAGGCACTTCAATTTCAGACCTATCTCTGTCTCAACAAGAGCTTTCCACCTCCTGAAAGCATCAAAGGCATCAGATTTATTTGTGATAAAATAAACCCGGCCCACACCTTTCTTGTGGCATCATCAATAAAGGTCATGTAGTAGGCGGATCCTAATAAGGATGTAACTTCTGCAGGTCCCTGAAGGTCGCTGTGAACTAGTTCCAGCTTCTCCGGTTTAATAGCTTATCTACCCTTCGAGAAATTGACACGTTTCTGTTTCCCTAATATGCAGTCCTCGCATAAGCCAACCTCAACAGTCTTCAGGCCGGGCAGTTTGCCCTTCGAACACAGCTCCTTCATCCCCTTTTCGCTCATGTGACCGAGACGAAAGTGCCACAAATTGACATCATTTGCTGCAGCGGTAGCACCATCAATACAATCATTAAAGTTCGTTGTCATGTACAACGTTGCCTCCTTCTTCCCTTTAGCAACCAGCAAGGCTCTCTTGGTGATCTTTTAATTTCTGCTGCTGAATGTAACTGCATAGCCTTCCTCATCCAACTGCCTAATTGAAAGAAGATTTCTCCTCAAACCAGGAATGTGTCGGACTCCATTCAGTTTCAGCATGCATCCGTTTGGAGTCTTCACGTGGACTGTACCCTTTCCGACAATTTTAAGAGGCCCATCATCAGCAAGATACACCTCTCCGAAATTGTCGGGAGTATATTGTTCCATCACTTCAGCATTACCACATGAATGGAATGAAGCTTCAGAATCCAGAACCCATGACTCGAACGTACTGTTCACGCTCAGGATCAGGAGATCATCGCCAGATGATTCTGCCCCTGCATTGGCTGATGTCTTCTCCTTCAGATCCTTAATCTGCTCCTTGCACTGGCTCTTGAAGTGTCCGTACTCCTCACAGTTCCAGCACTTGATCTAACTTCTGTCCTTCTTGCCCTTGGTGTTTGACTTGGATTTCGATCTTGATCTATCCTGATTTGATTTGGACTTCGACTTCGTTCTGCCCCGGTTCTCTGTACTCAACGTCGATCCAGAAGTCAAGCCTGATTCCTTCCTGTGAATTTCTTCGCTGACCACCAGATTTCTGACTTCATCAAATTTCAGTTTCTCCTTCCCTGCCGAAGCGCTGACTGCAGTCACCGTTTTGTTCCAACTTTCCGGGAGAGAAGACAGCAGAATTAGGGCATGAATCTCGTCGTCGAATTTGATCTCAACCGCGCTCATATGTGTGGTGATTAAATTGAACTCGTTGAGATGCTCCACAACTCCCGTACTTTCTGACATCTTTAAGTTAAAAAGACGCCTCATTAGGTGAACCTTGTTCGCAGCGGACAGTTTCTCGTACATATCCAATAATATCTGCAACATCTCCTTTGTTGTTTTTGCTTTGACGATGTGTAGGGCATGTTTCTGGATAGCGACAATCGAACCACGCTCATCGCTTGTATGTCCAGCAACTTCCAATCGCTCTCCTTCATATCTTCCGACTTATCATCCAGAGGTTGATACAGATCTTTACCGTACAGGTAATCTTCGATCTGCAACTTCCAGAATCCGTAATCCGTTCTGTCAAACTGCATCACCGGTGTCTTCAAATTGTCTGCCATCGTGAGATCTCCCTTCGAACCTGGGGCTCTGATACCAATTGTTAGGAATTAATTTACGCAACACGAAGAACAATTAAAGAACACACGAAATTTGGTAACCCAGTTCGCCACGAATGACTACGTCTGGGGGCGCTACCAAGCCAAGAATGTTATTGCTATTTTCGGATCCACACATGATTACAAGGTAGAGATCTTGTATTTATAGAGAAGTAAAACCTAACCTCAAGGCAACTAGGATGCGTTTCCAAAAATAAATTAAAGAAATATGTTTCCAAAAATAAATTAAGAAAAGCTTTGGTTATACAGTCTCTAACACATTACAGCAAGGTGATCGCTGGTGTGAACGCTCGCTAGCTCCAGCTCGATCAGTTCTGATGGAGAGTTCCGTTACACTAGCTGTCTTAGGGGTTGTTTACTTTTTTTTTCATTAAGTGCTGAATGTGTTAAACGTATGTCTGTATTAAGATGTCTGTCTGGATTGACACTGAAATAACAAATTGTTTACCATGTGTGCTGAATGAGAAGTCTGAATCATGTCAAATGACCAAATAACCCTCTTGTCTGTAACAAGTGCTGAATGTGTATTGTCAGTTTATTTTTACTTGTTCTAAAAAAATAAAATTTATATGTTTGAAAATAAGACAAGGAAATAATAACAGTCTTGCAAGAAAAAGACATGTGGTCACCCTGTAATATCCAGATAGGACATATCACAATTTCTTTTAGTAAAACAGTTCTTAATAATAATAATAGAATAGAAAACAAATATTGAATTTTAAGTTATACTCCCTCTGTCCCGGAAAATTGTTCCCGCATTGACTTGGAACGAAGTTTAAGAAAGTGAGAATAAAGTGCAAATATTTGGTTGTGGACTTGTGGTTGAGTAAGAAAAAGGTAAATGAATTGTAGCCACAAAAACTTTCCAAAAGGAAAAAGTGGAACAATTTTTTGGGACGGCCCAAAAAGGAAACCGGGAACAATTTTCCGGGACGGAGGGAGTACAATCAAAATACAGCAGATATTAGCAAGTGGAATTATTGTCATCAGAATCGATCTCATAGGCTCGTAGCTCTCTGCTTTAGCCAAAAAAGAATGAAGATGGGTGTTTGTGTATGGTTTCTATTCCAATTAAATTGAGCCAAGGAATGAAGATGGGTGTTTGTATATTGTCAGCGAGTAGATTACTTGGGAGTTTGTTTCTGGTTCAAAGTCCACGGAGCAGAGCATATAATAAGGTAATTGTATATTGATATAAAAAGTATGAAATTTAAAAAAAATGCAGAAGTAATCTAGACAAATACCGAATAGTGAAGTTGTAGATCCAAAGAAAAACTCTGCCCGAGAAGAAGTCGACCGCCTTGCTTTCTTTGGTCCGTCAAAGAGGACTCGTTGTTCAAAGGAAGATAAATGAAGTGTGTTTGTTCGTGTGTCTCAGCGGGGAGGAGCGTATTTTTTCAGCTGAGCGAAAAGTGATGTTTCGTCTGAGCGAATAAGTCATCCATTTGATTAAGTTCTAAGTAAACACAACTCAATAAATGAATGGCTAAATCACTAAGTTCATTAAGTCCATTAAGCTCCAAGTAAACAGCCCCTTGGTGTCTTACGTTATACTACTCACGTGTCTTACATGCAGCCCGGGATGAGTAACCTAGCTATCACACTAGACTAACCTTCATACAACAAATAACACTTGCATCTAGCTAATAAAAGTATGTTTTTTTCTACTCGTATTATTAGTTAAGCATCGTCTATATATAGATGTGGTTAATTTAAATAAATGTAGAGATTTTAATCTAGTTTCCAAATATGTAAATTTTGCCAAAAAAGGTTGCCGCAAAATTTTTCGACGATTATAGTGACATTCAAAAATGACATAAAAATCTGATAGTGACATACAATAGTGAAATAAAAATTTGACGGTGACATAAAAATCATGTTTTTCCATATATGTGACCTTATTAGTCACATTTTTGTCCTTTTATAAAAATGACCATTTTTTAAAAAAATTAGCTTCAATTAGGTAATATTCATGGAAAAAACCCAAAAGTTGATTCCCCACCTCAATTCGAGCTTTTTCCCGAATTAATGCTACTTAAATAAATAATTACGAAATTAGGGTTGAGTTAAAAGTAATTCGTAAAATGATTCTGTGCAATGCAATGCAATGTAATGCGTAACTGCGTAAGTGTGCAAGATGGTCCCCATAACTAAAAAAATGTCTTTTTGTAAGGAATATATCTTTTTCATTTTGCTAGAATTGTTTAAAAATATATATCAAAATTCATAATTTTTTATGATCTTTAATATGACAACAATATTGACATATTGTATAAAAATATATCCAAATAATTTTCTTTTCCGCTGGACCGAGCGTAGGCTAAAAAATATATATATATCAAAATTTATAATTTTAATGATCTTGCATATGACACCAATATTACATATATAATTTAAAAAAGAAAAAATAAAAAACATATTGTGTCCAATTGAAATGCGAAGTTTCAAAATTCAAATTTTTATATTCTATCGAAATCTCTTTCTCACTGTACCAAGCTTAGGCTCAAAGATAAATCAAATCCATAACCTTTTATAATCTTTCATATAACAGTAATATTGCATATATTATTTTAGTATATGATATTCATAAGTTTTATTAAACTAATATATGCAATATTGGTTTCAAATGAAAGATTATAAAATGTTATGCATTTTGATAAATAAAAAAAAATAGCCTACGCTTGGTCCGGTGAGATATAGATTTTGAATTTTGATACATCATACTTCAATTCAACATCGTATGATTTTTAGATTCTTTTTTAAAAAGTATATATGTAAAATTAGTGTCATATGAAAGATCATAAGAAGTTATAAATTTGATATATATTTATAGCCTAATCTTGGTCCAATAGAAAATAAATTTCTTTTGCAGATAGAACTTTGAATTTCATATTTCAATCGACTGCATATGGTGATCGATCAAATTTTCTTACAAAAAATATATATGCAACATTGATATCATATGAAAGATTATATATGAATTTTGATATTTTTAGGGATCCCTATATTGGGGCTGTCAATAGAATTACCCCTTCTCTTATGAACAATCCTTTTTCTCCGTGTCAAGATGTTAGACGATCTCATTACATATAACTGCTGTTTATTCTTCTTCCTTATTCTTATGAAAAACTGTAAATTTTGATCTTATCAGCTTGTTTTAAACTTTTAATTGCTTTTATTTTAACTATATATTGTGTCTGTGCATTTCTGGGTAATAGATGCTCTCCAATTTTGATAGATATACATGCTGAGAAGCAAGAAAGCAATATTTCCACCAGAATAAGCTTGAATCCAGTGGCGGGCAGATCCTGGATAAAAACTTTCAAAAAAGCACTCTTATACCTATTTTTATACACACCATATTTGTGCAAAGATTTTTTGTGTCTGTAAATCCTGTTTACAAACAAAATATGTCTATGCAAATCTTGCACAAACAAAATAAGACATATTTTATTTGTGAACCGGATTCACAGACAAAAAAAACATTCACATACATGATGGGTTGGGTACAACAAGAATAATTGAATAACTTTAAGTCAAAATAACATACAATGGTGTAAATGATGGGTTGTTTTACATTTAGAATATTTTACTTAATTATTAAATGACATTTTCTATATTCTAATGGTGTAAAATATTATATTACACTCTAATAGATGTATAACTCTTTGAGTAAGTTATCATTGAAATTAAATCTAATTGATGTAAATAAAAAATCCTATAATAAATTAATAACATTACAATAAGTTTTATAACATTATTTAATATTTATATTTATATAAATATTAAAAAGTAGTTTATGACCTTAAACAAGTAAACAACAGAATCACACATATGGATTACCTATGAAGGACTAAACAAGTATATAGCTGTGTTATTAGAACCAGACCGGGCCGGGCGGATCGACCCGGAAACCGGCGACCCGGCACCTAACCCGGTCCGGTTATATGGAAACCCGTAAATGTGGGGAAAACCGGATTTACCCGGTAACCCGCTTTGACCCGGGACGGAACCGGCCCAGCCTGAACCCGGGAAAACCGGAAATTTCTCCTAGAATCGGATAATTATGTACATTATAATTATGTAATGTACTATTATTTCTCCTAGTACTACATATATAATTATGTAAAATTATTTTATGCATGTTTCTAAAAAAATAAAATAACATTATTACTATAATTGGGCTAAAATTATATTTTAGAATATTATGGGTGTGTTTTCAACGCTTGCTATTATTATGATTATTTGATTATTATTCATAATAGTTATCCATATTTTTTATTTTATATATTATTATAGGGAAAAGGGTCAGATAGGCCCTCGAACTTACATAAAAAGGTCAAATAATGAAATAAGTCCTTATATAGGAGACTATGTTCGACCGTCTCCATTTGGGACGGTTCCCGTTGTAATTTTTTGATGAATTTTTTTAAGCATCTTGTTTTTTCAAGTCTAATTTACTCATACCAAATTTTAGCTAAAACTTCAATCAGGAAGGCATTCCAATGTTTTCTTGAAGATAACTGTGTAGTTAAAAGCGCAGTTATCTTCACGAATTCATTTGAATTCCTTCCCGATTGAATTGCTAGCTGAAATTTGGTAGGAGTAAAGTAGACTTAATGAATAAGATGCCAAAAAATTTCATCATAAAATTCCACAGGGAACTGTCCCAAATGACGACGGCCGGACAGAGCCTCCTATATAAGGGCTTATTTTACCTTTTAAGGTAAGTTCGAGGGCCTATTTGACCTTTTTCCCTATTATTATATATTTATTAAAATACTAAATTAGAAATGTTGATCGGGTTTCCCCGGTGTTGACCGGGTTGTCCCGCCGGGTCCGGGCTGACCCGTGACCCGGTCATTCGTCCGGGTCGCTTCCTGGTCCGGTTCTTATAACATAGGTGATAGGTATATAGGCCATTAAACCAACATTTGAGTTGATTACTTGATAAAATATTTCAAAATAAAGTCAATAACATAGCAAGTAGCTAACTTCTTGGCCGTCTAGCTTCATATCCTGCTGCTCTTCTTGTCTGCTCCTGTACTCACGGGATTCACTGCTCAAATTGACTGGATTGGCGATTGAGAATGACAGCTGCATAAAGATTAGAGAAAAAACCTAGCAAGAAGAATCTTCAGCCGCAAGGAAATGAATAGGGTTTCCATAACTATAAATCCAGCTAAAGATATGAGCTATTTGCCTCAACGGGAGGGATACATAAATATGGACATTTTTGTAAATCCAAATGAAACACCCTTTACTCACACTTCATCATTTTAACTGTCATACAAAGAAAATTTATGTTTTACAATATCACTAATCTTCCCTCCCTTAATAGATCTTACACTTTAACAATTCAGCTTTTACCACCTCTCAAGTCTCAACACACTATCCAGCAAAGCCGTAGGAGTGTAGGACTGTCTGATTCCGATCCTAACAAACCCGGCTGGTTCAAGACTAACAAAACTCCGGCTAAAATAAAATAGGGTTGTCACTGGCTGAATCTTTTAGCAAACATTTTGGAACACTGAGCCGTTCACTCATGTAAAATTCCAATCCCATATGATAGTTACATAGTTAATCCTGTATTAAAACTAACTACATCAAACAGCCCAATCCTATACATATCTATGTACAACGAATCAAAGCTCCCTAGTTCTGAAATGTCTGTCCAGTCAAACAAGAAATTGGAGGGAGGCAGAAACCACCATAAGCTCCCTTCGACTTATGGAGCACCTGTGCTGGTGACGAAAGGAACCAAACGTCTGTAATCTCTCCTCCTCCCAAGGGGACAACTGTCGAGCACCTTCCCGAGCATCGACCTTGTATTCTTCAGAGCTATATCTCTAGGCGTCAGTCCAGATTCCGATGCATTATTTCCTTGTCCCATCTGCTGAGCAGACCCCACCATCGAAAACTGTAATGGGCCACTGCGGGCCTTGAAGGAAGTCTGAGCAGCAAGAACCTTGCTGTCATCGCTGTCAAACGAGCCTGTTGGTTCATTCAGGTGGGACCCGGCGGGCATGGAGCTACAACTCTGCAAGAGGGCTTCTAAAACGCTAAGCGCTTCCCAACACAGTGTGCTCTCTACCAGCTGCGACACCACGGCGTACATGTGTGGACTCTGAGCAGCGTCCATGGGAGTGTGCTGAAGCAAAGCCTTTAACATCAGGAGTATCACACGCTGATATTCCAATGGGCCTCTCTCGAGAAGCCGCAACAGGTGTCCGAAAGCCAGGGCAGAATGTTCTGGAAACCACTCATTGCACAGTAATGGCGAAGTGCAGGCTAGAAGGGTCAACACGCTTCTAATCTCGCCACGCGAGTAGGCGACAAAAATCGTCGCGAGCTCATCCAATGATTTCGCCCGACACCATATTGCCACATTGGTAGCGACGGAGCATGCCTTTTGAAGAGGCCCACCACCTGCTGCATCATGCTGACCGCCTAGCTGTAAGCAAAGCCAGGGGAGCAATCCAATCACATGCATCAAGAGCCGTGTTTCCGCGTCGCCGAATATTGAATCGCATGATGGGACAGTGATGAGAGAGAGAACCTCAATCGAAACGCTGTGGCTGACGGCCGACATGAGCCCTTTAAGGACCAATGGTTGCACCCCTTCAAAAACCGGGAGGGTCTTTTTGCTGCTACTTGTTTCAAGACGTTGAAGAAAGTCAGAACTGTCACCAACGCCATTAGAATCAAGCTCGTCTCTTGGCATGCTGGAAAGAAGTACATTTTCAGTGGTTCTATCACGGAAAGAGAGACGGTCTACAATCCGGGAAAAGAGCTCAAGAACCTGACAGTATACATGGACAAACTCCATCTGCATCATAGCAACACACCCCCAGAAAAGCTGGGGGTATAGTATCACCTTTTCCGGCTCCATGTTCTCCACCATCACCTGTAAGGTCAACAGGATCTCCATAACAAAACCTAGAACAGCAGGGACCGGATTTCCCAAACACCTGTGGAGACAACGGAGGAGAGAGACGCAGGCATCGTTTGTCACACAAGGCCGGAGTGCACGGTAGATTTGGTGGGACCTGCAAGCGAGATGTCTCGACGTGCACTCCATGGCCCACCTCAGCGCTTCTGCTCCCCATGTTTCTCTTAAATCACCTTGGAAGAAAATAGCATCTACCATGCTCTGTACAAGAGCAGACAAGAGTGCCGCGCTTGGTAACTCTGTTCTTACAACAGTGGGATCCTCATTTTCCCACATCATGCTTCCCTGTTTTGATTGGACGTATTTAATCAGGCTCACAACCTGCTGTTTGTTCTCCCCGTCACTACTTTCAACATCATAAAGCTCCAAGTGCCTACCTGCAGGGGGTAAAATATTTCATTCATAAAAGTTTTACAATATATATATATACGGAAAAGATCCTGTCCAGCCGGAGGGACAGGATCCTCCGTCCGGCCGCCTCCGTTTAGGGCGGTTCCCGGTGGAGTTTTTTGATGAAATTTTTATGGAATGTTCCTCATCAAGTCTAGTTTATCCACAAAAAATTTCAGCTAAAAATTCGATCGGGAAGACAGTCAAATAATTTTTTGAAACATAACTGCGTTTTATATGTTTAATTTGGAGCAGTTATCTTCAAAAAATTATTTGACTGCCTTCCCGATCGAATTTTTAGCTGAAATGTTTTGTGGATAAACTAGACTTGATGAGGAACATTCCATAAAAATTTCATCAAAAAACTCCACCGGGAACCGCCCCAAATGGCGGCGGCCGGACGGAAGATCCTGTCCCTCCGGCTGGACAGGATCATTCCTCTATACATACATACATACATACACACACACACACACACACACACATATATATATATATTCCCTTTGTTCTTAGTTTGCTGCTTGTGTTACTAAATCACACAATTTAAGAAACATATTGGGATGAAAAATCAATACTTTTTTCTTTACCTAAATTGCCCCCATTTAAAGTTACCCTCCTTTTTTATGTTCTTCGAAGGAAAAAGGGTAATCTGGATGGTATAGACAGCGTAAATTCAGGGAAAATTTAAGGAAAGTTCTGTTTATACACCTTTTGTACACCCCCCCTATTTTTAGTTTGTCTAAAAAAATTCAAATCGTCTGTTTACATAGACTAAAATAGGGGGTACATAAGGTGTACACCTTTTAGTGTACACCAAGCACTGCTCAAAATTTAATGTGCAGACTTGATAAGTGAAATAACTGACAACTAAACGAAAACAAGGAAAACACTGTCAAGGACCCAAGGTGGACAGATAAATAGGAATGGAGAGGGGGTGGGGGGGTACAGTAGCACATCTAATACATAAAGTACAGAACATGGGATGAGATTGGCCCCTGCTTACCTGCAAGAGAATACAGAAGATTGACGAGCAAGTGTTGGCAATGCTCCAACACTATATCCTCTGAACTATCCATAGAGACAAATGTTACGTGGAAGAGCAAAGGTAAGTGTTCTCTGAAATCCTCATCGTTCTCATAGGCGATCTCAGCAAGTAGGATCAATGCAATATCTGCATGAGTGAGGGAGTGTTGCTGATGTCCTTGTAAGGCTGACTGAAGTTCTTTTGCATTCACGCCGGCCACAGAATGCAACCCGTCTTCTCCTGAGTTTGGCGTATCAATGAGGTAATCCCCACTGTCTCGAGAGAGGTGACGGCTCCGTAGACTGCCGGTTGAACTCCGGACCCCAATAAGTGGACCCGACATATTCACCAGTGCTGGAAGGAGTTGGCCGGACCGACCAGCACTAACAGGAACAATATTCAATTCGGGCGGCATAGGGCTCAACGGGCCAGATGCACTCCTTCCTCCGACTCCCGCTGTTCTCCAACTCAAGCTTCCACTCGTGTTCCTTAGTGGGCCATCAAAAGATCCACGAACTAATAAAGGAGACATGTGGGGCTGGTTGTCTACAATGTTTGTCACTTGGGAAAAAGCGGGGCCCTGAGAGAATTCTAAGATCAAGTTTCCATTTCCATCAGCCTTATTTGCACTGGGCCTTAAAGGTTCAACACTATCTTCAAGCATTCGCTGGGCTAATTGGTATACCAAGTGATCGATAGTGCGCTGAGGGCAAATACGGGCCAAATACAAACTAACCCTTTTTGCAACAGAGAAATATGTAGCAAACGCACCACTTATTTCTGCTGAAGCATTTGAATCACAATCTTCAATTCCCTTTGTGATCAAGAAATCTAAAACTGGACTTATGTTCCTAGGTTTGCTAGCGATTGTGCTCCATAATTTTTCTATCTCATCAGGAAACTGATCACCACGTCGCCACGTCACATAATACAAACTTTTAAGTAATCTTTCACTCCACCCCGAATCTTTCAGTTTCCAGAAATTAAGATTCTCAATCCATGGAGCCATGCACGTTAGAACCTGATGCTGTGCGATCACGTCGACAGCATCAAGCTGTCTCTGCATAATTTCTTCACATAGCAGTTGGCTCAATTCAGGATGATCCTTAGCAAGTTTGCAAGAGAGCTTGTATTGGAACTGTTGGTATGAATCGGGGAGGTTACCAACAACAGCAGCTCTATAATTTCCAGATCCCTCAATACCATCCTCAGCCCATTCACGTACAGAAAGTGTTTCAAGCATTTGAAGGGCATCATCACGGATTTGTCTGGAAGGATCCACCACCTTGTAGAGTATAAGGCTTAGAAGTCTTTGTATTTCGCATTTTGGGATCTCTTGGCGCATATAGACTTCAGCCAGCACACTGAAGTAGCCATCAGCAATTGCAGCATCAGAGTAGTAGCACTACACATAATTAGGGTTCACATTACTCTTTTATTTCATGATATAGCATTATTTATTTACCTACCTCTTTCCTAAAAAAAGAGACCCGTGTTTGACTATTGTACATCCCCTTTTAATTTTGGCAATGTACACATGTCAAAAATCATGAATTATACTTATATTATCTAAGTTAATCATGCTTTTCCTCAAATCTTTTTTGGTATCTTTTGGAAAATTACATGAAAAATTAGCTTCTTTTTTGGTGGGATGGGTTGGGGGATCATAAGAAACAGGACAATTATTTTGGGACAGAAGGAGTAATACTTAATAGTGTAAGTATTGAAACATTGAAGGGGGTCAAGAGGGAAAAAAGTTACCTGATCAATGCAAGCAGGAAAGAGATCCAAATTTGTGATGAGAAGATTTTTTAATGCCTGTTTTGCAAGTGAAACTCGAAAGTGCCCTCCTCTGTGCCTGTCACGTCCATTAGCTCCTCCTCGACCACCTTCCCCGGTGTATTTTGAATGAGACGGAGTTCTAGGATCTGCTGGTGAATAGCCAAACGGCACTCTTGGTGCAGGTTCAATGAACAAGCTATTGATCCAAGATATCACACGACCACTCATCTTTCTTGCATTATCATCGAAGCAAGGACCATACAGCAATGAAGCCATAGCGTTCATGGATTGCCATTGAAGTGCTTCAACCTGCTCACCCAACTCTTTGTCAAATGAAAGTTTGTCTATAGAATCTTTAGACCTAGAGTGCTGGGATGACTTGTACCGTTCAACCTCACGTCGATAATCGCTAACACCATCCTGAGTCCATGAACTACTAGTGTCATCACTCCACGAGAGGAGAAGATCAAACAGTCTCTTTCTTGTCCTAACATCAAATTTTTCGGTTTTTGATTCAACAAATTCAGGGGCCAGAGATCTCAATACAGAAGCAAGTGCGTAACGGAGGGGTTGAATCTCCTGGAAGTTCTCGGGTAGTGCTGTTAATATTTGTCTAGTAGTGGTTTCTTCAATGAACTTTAAGTAGTGCAGACGAAAAACTGGCTTTCTGGCAAGCATTCCAGGCCAGATATTATGAGCAACAGTGCGGTATATATTTGCAGTATTGATACGAAGCTCTTCACGGCGATTCTTTTGACTCTGTACCATAGAAGATGTTCATTACAGACACCTGCCTATAAATGTAAGCATGTGCCAAAGAAAAAGGGTGAACCAGGAAAATAGAAAGAAGAGTATAAATATAGATGATATACCTTCCATTTTGGCTTGCCTTCAGTTTCCAAAGAGACCTCATCAATGAAAGAGGCAAGCTCGCTAAACATCACTTCACATATTTCAAGATGTGATCGACCAAGAGCCATAGTTGCTGCATGCTATGTGTAACAAATTAGTCGATCTATGGATACACAATCATACACATCGGTTTTCTCCTACACTTATCTTTTTCTTTGAAGCTGAGTAACTTCTAATATAAATGAAATACACAATCCTCAAATGTTCTCATTGACTAAACTACTGCTACCACGGCTAAAACACCGAATTCCCCCTCACAGCCATGGCATGCTTAGCTAATTACTTTAGGGAGCTTAGTTTGTTTTCACCATTCCTGGTGTGTGGCGTCGACTCAAGTGGGGACAATAGCTATGAAATAGGTCAGGTGAAAATTTACATTTAAATGATTCTGAACAATGGGGTTAAAGTGGATAACAACAAATGTTCTTAAAGAGTTAATGAGTTATAGCTACTTGTAGTGTCATGGTCATCTTGAAAGATTAGGATGTTTTTACTTGGACTGTAATTTGTCCCAGACCAGACCAGACTTGGATAGTTATGAAAATACAAAGAAACCAGACCAGACCAGACCAGACCAGACCAGCAAATTACTGTCCAAGTAAAAACATCCTTACTATCAAATTTATCTTTCTTATTATCTTCATGCTCGGAAATTATATCCATTAGTAATAATTATAATTGACGTCTTCAGCCTAACAACATCTGATCATTAGCACCTGAATCCCAACTAATCAAGGTGTGTGACATGAAATTTAGTGACAACTAATTTAGTTAACGCCATACATCCATGCAAAAAAAGCAGAGCGCTACACTTGAGGCCAATCATCATATTGCAACCTTCCTTCTCACAAAGAACAATGAGGGTATTTCCACTTGCAAAGAAAATATCATGAAATGGTGATGATTTAAGATAGTTGCTATGGTAATGTTCCCCTACAAGATTGGTATTGTTAATTAAATTTGCAAATTATGGGCTATGACCATTTGTCAACCACTTAACCCAACAAACTTAACCATAGATAAGATCTCTCTAGTAAGAACTTACTATGTGTGCCTCAGAACCAGACTTTAAGGATGGGAAGATAACATGGAATAATTCTTTCAAAGCTGCAGAACCAGCACCCTCCCGGCTATCAGATGGGCATGAGCATGCGAACATAGCATACATTAACCACTGATCTAGCTTGTTGTCTGTATCTTGAGATTGGTATGCCTTCCCACCCAGTTCTGCAGGTGTGATATGAGCAAGACGCTGAATAACTTCCAATCTGCAAGGAATGCCAAGATTTATGACTGGATGGATGTGATAAAGTACAGAAAGTAGCAACTGTAGAGTGTTGTAATCCTAGTTTTAGTTTATTATGGTTTCCTTTTCTCATTACATTCAGGGTTTAGGTTTCCTAATTCTATTGGGCTTAGGTCATTGTTTTCAAGTAGCAGACATGGCAGATGGCGGAAATATTGCAGTCTGCCATATGTAATTTGTAAAGAATGCGGATTATGGTGGAGCCATATGGTGGAACTTTGGCTATCTGCCATCTTCAATTATTAACACTAGTTTAGGCCCCTCTCTAACTAAGCATTTAGTTTAATTACATCTACCTCCCTTGAGGTTTGGTCAAATTGCCAATGGTCCTTGTTTTTTAAAATTACAAATGCATCCCTCATCCAGTAAAATGTTTCGTAATGGACTCCAGAGTCCAGATATCATCATTACCCCAATGCCGCAAAGGCTCCCACCTACGGTGGGGTAAGGGGGGTCGGATGTACGCAGTCTTACCCCTTACTAAAGCATCCTAAATGCATGGACTGACTGCAGCTTCATAACAAAGAAGCGCAGACAGTTTAGTGAGCCATTTTGCTTCATTCCATCATATTTTCAAGCCAAAAAATAGCGAGTCTTTGGCTCCATTGCAAATGATGGACTCCAGACAATTATATAATATTATATTCTAAAATTAGCAGGAACTGAGACTTTCCATAGTGAATCACTCCTGATATTGTCCACATATTTTTTCTAAAAAGATTATCAATCATTTTAGACAATAAGATGCTAGAAAATTGAATGTTCAGTCCAAAGCACTTAATACATGATAATATCATTGAATAATATCACATGTTGATGTTAAAGTGTCATTCACAAAGAGTCTGACCACTCAAAGGGTCTATTTGCAATTTATATAAGCTCGGGGGATCATTTTGTAAAAATATGGGGTAGGTAAAAAGTCTTATCGATAAAAATAGTGGTTTGTTATATTACAAAAGGTATGAAACTGCAACATGGGCATTTCTCTCTCGTGCATAATGACCAAATAGCTTTCAAAGTCTGCGTATCACAGGAAAATAGTAGAAGAAGCCCATCAGAACCATTTTTCCTACTTCGGAGATTCCAGCTAGGCTCAGGAACTACAGAATGGACGGTACTACAGATATTGAAAATCAAAATGATTCAAAATTTCAGGTTATAGCTTACTTTGCCTCCTGAACAGAGCTTGGACAAAGCTCAGAAGCATATTTCACAAGCTCACTAAGACAACGAGCCCACCGGTTCTTATCTGCACTCTCAAACAGGATAGACTGAAGAGTAACATCAGGAGGTACAGGGTCAGACTCTCGTCTCAAATCAAAAGGGCGACCAGTATCCCAGTAGCAACTCTGAACAATATCATCCTGTAAATGAAAAAATATGCACTCACTGACATTTTAAGTGATCTTCACACCAACAAATAATAAGATAAATGCAACCCACCCCATGCTCTTCGAGAACATCAATTATGAATATAGGATCTGCCTCATTTCTCAAGATGTGGTCTGCTTCTGAGGTATCATGAACCGAAAATTCTTGTATATCATTCCGTAAAGCACGAACACAACGCAGTAACTCCAATGCAGTATGCCTGATCTGGCTGTCCACAGAGCTTAGGAAAATAAGACCAACAGCATCTATCTCTGAAGCTCTTTCAATTGCTTCTTGTGGATAATGGAAAGAAGACTTCTTGAACCCCCCAGTTCTCTGCACAGGCTTTACCTCTGATGTATCAGCATTTATCTTACTATCAGAAAGACAAACTCTCCAAAAGCGCATAAGATCGAGAAGGCGTCCCAGTGATGTTTGAATAAGAAGTGGAAACTCATCAGGAAGACGCAAAATAAAGTTTGCCATCCCTCTCATAATTGCAAAACGGCGATGTGGCAGGTATTTCACGATCCTATTCAGTACCTGTGCAGCTTCATCCCGCACACCTGGATCAATACTAATACCATGTTGCGGTATAATCTCAGTAATTTTATCACTTCGACCAACTTCTTCAATCAGATATGGGATACACTTTAGGACTGAGCGGAAAAGATATCCCTGGGACTTCTCCTTAGTTACAGCATCTACAAACACAAATTTTGATGTTTCTTAAAGCTACAGCTTGTAATTGAAAATGGTGAATGTATAACAATAATACACAAAAAAAAACATGTATTATACATGCATAGAATGGTAGCACCGTAGCAGTAATATATCTATCTTTTACATGGAAAGATATAATAAAAACTAAATCCGCTCTAAAAAATAAAGTACAGTTAGTATACAGAGTAAAAAAAGGGAGCCTGGTGCACGAAGGCATCCCCACAAGGTGAGTGTCCGGGGAAGAGTCCCACCAGAAAGTTGTATAAGGGGCAAGCCTTCCCCTGTCAAATTTTGACATATGGCCGCTCCCAAGACTTGAATCCATGACCTCTTGGTCACACAACAACACCTTAACCGGTGCACCAAGGGCCAAGGCTCCTTTTCATAAAGTATACAGAGTATGATGTTAAAAAATTACCTATAGTGGTCCTCGAAGATGTTAGAAGAGCCTGACTATAGGTCCTATGGCATGATCTTAAAATAGATTCAATAGCAGCTTTGACTTTTGGAATATAATGACCACAACCCCGAACTGTCAATGAGAGAATCAAAATCGATTTAGTTATTATAGAATGTTATACATGGAAAGAATACCAAGGTAGTGAACAAACAATGAATTACCATGAAGAATCTCCAAGCCAACAAGTTCACTAGTGGGGGACATGACAATGGCAAGCAAAGCTCGAAGTCCAATAACTTTTGCTTCACTTGGACTGTCCTGCTTCAGCAGTTCAAGTATCATATGGTTCATTGAAAAATCAAGGTTATGATCAGCAATGGATACACAAAATTCAACAAGTTTATCGTGCTGGACATCCTGCGTAAGCATGCCTTTTCTTAGAACTGTCAGTAGCTGTGATGTCACGCTGTCAAGGTAGTCCCATACACGGTTTGGGGGTTGTGAATCACCATGGACACTCAAATAAAACCTCATAACACGGTGGGAGCAATCTAAGGCCATGAAGCGCAGATTCTTGTCCTGCATAGATGGTTGAATCATATATTTCCCAAGCATCTAGTTTGCTATTATAAGCCTAGAGAGAATCAATCTAACAAAAGAATATGATTAAGATATCACAGTCATTCGCTTAGTCACCCAATGCAATGTACCTTTAGATGCTTGTACAATTGTTCCATGTGAGGACCAAAGTTACTGAGGAAAACATTAGGATCACCGAGGCACAACAGAAGTGTAACCAGAGGATACCCAACCTAGTTAACCACAGTTGCAAATTAGTGAAAATTAATGACCGTCTAAAAACAGATCAATAAAGAAAAATAGTAAAAAGGAAGATCTGGATACCACTTTCTAATACTAAATACAAATATAATTCAATAAGGTGAAACTACAAAAAATGAAATGGGAATAAGTTATACGGAAAGAAACAAGATCAATATGACAGCCATTTAGAATCCAAACCAAAATGATAAAATCATACAGAGTAAATAAAAAATAAAGGGATACAAAAGAGAGAATCGTCATACACACTATTGGGTGAAAGTTCTAAGACTGTTCCAAGCACGGGAGCAAACAAGCCGAGTTGAGCTCAACCAGAGTTGGCTCAACCTTGAGTTTAGAATAATATTAGTATACTATGATTAGTATATCTTTAATATATTTAAAATTATTAGTATTGTACACACAACACATACATACACTTTTAGAAACACTATGACTTATTACATATTTAACTAAGTAATATGTTATATATAATGGCTCGCGAGCCGCCTTGCGTGTCATGAACCGATTATAATGAAGTTCGAGATCAGTTCGATTCCTCGAGCTTGCATCAATTATGAATTTGACTGCACTAAGGCAGACTTTTACTGAGCGAATCACGAACGGCTTGGCTCGTTTAAAAAAAGGCCATAAATGCTGAATGTAAACTTAAGAGACTTGCCGCAATATGTTTACTCTGTTTGTCCATCCAATGTATAAGCTGAACCCTTATCAGTGCCACAGCATCATACCATAGAGCAAGTGCTGGCTCTACTCCTGAAGGGGGCCATTGACCTTTGCCAGCATCTGCCAATGGTGCAAGAATATTTGAAAGCATATTGCACAATGCATGATGAAGTTCACTTTTGCGTCTATGAGCAGGACGATTGAGAGGATTGGCTTTAGCCACAAAGGAAGCTGAAGCATTCAATCCACCCTCTGTCTTGACCTGGATGAAATAGTCACTACATGAATGTATGTTTCGAGACAATCATACTGTAACAATAGATTCATTAAATTGGCAAGTACCCCAAGCTTTAGATAGCGCATTCCATTAATGATACTGAGTGTTTCGCTTCGAGCAACACTCGTGTCTATCCGGCGTGTATTCAACTCCATGAAAAAGCGCTCAGTCACAGAACTGAATCTGTCGAAATAAAACAGAATTGCATCTTGTATTCTTGTGGAACAAAAGCATCAAGGCTGAAAAAATATCATCACTAATAAAAATAACCTGGACAGATGAGAATAGAAATGCAAAATGTGCCAAGTTTTACCATTCACATCTGATGAAACTTCATATTCTTCGAAAATGGAAGTTGGATATCATTTTGCAGGTTAAAGATCTACTATGTTTTAGGTATTATACATTAAAGGCACATAGAGTTCGACTCAGAGTGGCACCTAGAATCTCCAAATTTTCTCCCTTTCAAAAGGCAAAACTATCACCTCCAGTTACCTGATCCGTGAGAGAGCACCAAGAAGTTGTGCAACTAGGTCTAGAAGAAGCCCCCTTAAATCAACCAATGAAGGATACTCCACCTGACTAACAACCCTGCACTGAGAGATAGTAAAGTCAATAAAGTGGAAATGACGGGCCATACCATTCTTTCTAGAAAATCAAAATCATAAATCAAGTTCAAGCAAACAATGGTTTTGGTAATCGTAATGGCTGTAGTCACTTTTTTATCACGCAAGGATAATCAGAGATGATCAAATAAATAAATACATATATAATTGAAAAAACTGACTATTGAAAAACTTGGTGATATGCTAGTGTTTGAATAGTTGACACAAAATAGTCATGCTAGTAATATATGCACATATCCACTTCCCTAAAACATTCACCCTTAACTTGCAAACATAACACTTCTCAGTACACATCACAAGACAACAGCAACACGTCACCAATGAATATGCTTCTAAATTTTAAAATAGCATAATAATCGTGATAAACTTAATGAAGGGTGGGCCTGGAACAACCAGTCAAGTCCCTCACTTCAATCCTGGAGGTCCATGGTTTATATCCAGCTCCTTACAAAATGAAAAGAGGAAGACAGCCTAGATTATACCCTTCCCTAGAGTCTAGACCCCCTCCCCTATCCCCCATATATTATGAATACCGCAACACTATATGCAAGCTGATTTAGAAATGGTAAAAATAAATGATGCAAATAATTGAGCTTGCATGTGTTACGGATGCTTTTTATGGGATTCCATACCGTAGAAGGAAACATATGGGCCAGAGAGACATTCAATTAAATGAGTAGTCTAGCTTGATGTTATATTTTATTATTTATATTTTATTGTTTCCTAAGATTTATTGTTTCCTAAGATTTATTGTTTTAATTAGATTAGGGCTTGATCCTGTAAGAGACAGGATGCCTATTTAATATTGTTTCCTAAGATATTTAGAATTTTCAGTTAGAGTTTTAATTGGATTAGGACTTGATTTTGTAAAAGGCAGGATGCCTATTTATAATCATTTCAGCAATAATAAAGATCATCGATCATTCAAATTATTCCCAGAGAGAAGTCACGGACTTCCCCCTCCCCTGCGCTCTTCCAGCCACGGGCAAGAAGAGGAATAACCCTAGCAGGAAGGTTACGACCTCAACCGGGTACCCTGCTACCCCAAGTCGGCCCTGGACCCGTTCTCAATCGCAGAACCCTAACAGTATGACCCATATGACTTAAGCCACACAATAAGAATAAAAAATATTTCCCTGCATGAGATCTCAGACAATAACTATCAAGAATTGCTTAAAAAGTTAAAATTAAAACAGAAAGCAAATCTTGAAAAGAAGGTTTGCACCCCATAGGGGGGTTGGAAGGCTGGATGAGTTCTATAAATTTATAATCATGTTTGAATGTTGTACCTGTCTGCATTAATCAGCCAGTCGAAGACAAAATTCTCAAGCCCAATCCATAGTTTCTCTGTGGTACAAATAAGAAATATTTCAGCCCCAAAACATTGGACAACTAACTAATAAAAGGTATGGCTGTAGCAGTGTGAACACCTGTTAGCCCTTCTTGTGGACAACACTCCACAAAGCGAATACAAGCAGAGCAAAAAATACACTCCACTGCAAGCTGAAGGAGATGAGGTAACAATGAATAACACTAATAGTAATAACGAAGGCAAATTCTATAAAAATTATGTGCTATTTGACTTCTTTTAATCAGTTTACTTGAGTAAATATTAAGTTATATTCATACAAGTATTTATATGATTGGAGTTCCAGCTAAATCGTGATTTCTTTGAAGCTTCATATTAGATATTTTGCTTGTATGTAAACAGTTAATACCGTATAAACTGACTTAGGTTGAAAAGTGACTGCATGCACATTGTGCATCTGAAATTAGAAAGAGACATTTGTATGCAACATAACCAACCTTTCTCTGAAATGTTGATGCATCATTTGCACCTTTGGGAGATTCACTGCAGAGCAGTAACAAAGTTAATACTAAGTCATCATTCAGAAAAAAATATTTCACTAAACAACTTAAAAATGTTCCAAGCCAGTCTTGGTTCATAGTAAGTTTTAAGTCATAAATGCCCATCATCATTTTCATCATTTTCATTTACCCCAGTGCCGCAAAGGCTCCCACCTACGGTGGGGTAAGGGGGGGCGGATGTACGCAGTCTTACCCCTGTACTAAAGCACAGAGAGACTGTTTCCGGATGACCCATAGTGAAAATCGCGTCCAAAATTGCATGGACTGACTGCTGCTTCATAACAAAGAAGTGCAAACAGTTTAGTGAGTCATTTTGCTTTATTCCATCATATTCTCAAGCCAAAAAATAATGAATCTTTGGCTCCATTGCAAATGATGGAAAAAGTCATAAATGCCCATGGGGTTAAATTTGTTGCAAATTGCAGCTTTAAAGCTCATTATTTCCATTAACACGCAAAGTTTAACTTGATGGTCAGTGGTTGGTCATTAAGTATCCAAACACGTCACCTCTCAATGCACGAAGTATTTTGACTAAAAAATGAGTAACCAAAAACTTCACCTCTCAATGCATGGAGTATGTATGACTAAAAAAATACATCTACTGTTTTAAAAAATAAAACAATTGTTAGTGTCAATAATTTTATTACATGAATGCATTTACATGAAAGTGTAAGACAGGAGGAATATCTACTATTCTACTTCAGACTTAGTAGAACTTTATTTTATAGATAATAGTTTAGTTTATGTCATAGTCAAGCATAAGTTGTACTCCCTTCATCCCATGTAGTAAGATGCACTTTCCTTTTTGGGTTTTCCCGAAACTATGAACACTTTCCTAAATTGAACTCCGCTAACTTTTTACTCTCCCACTTTATCCCCCCTTTGTCTATGATTTCATCCTTTACTTTTTGTGGACTTATCTAACTTTTTCTTACTTTTTGGAGTTTAGAATTATAAAACGACCATTTTATCCTTTCTTTTCTTAAAACTGCCCTAAACCCACATGTATATTACATTATGGGATAGAGGGGGTGCTTGGTAACTATATAAGAGCTTAAAATAAGATGCTATAGCACATTGTGTTTCAAGAGAAGCTACTTAGCTACGCTCGTTTATTATTTTTAATAACCCTTTTATTTTATAAAATAAAGCCTTCAAACTACTACTCTATTAGAATCCTTGTCCATGTGACCTAGATTGTGTATTTACATGGACAGTGTATATCATTTATCAACAGCTCATTTTACCAACTATATTTCAATATTAGCTTTCAACTTGTAGTTGTAAGATTTGTAGATTTCAATATTCCATCCTTTAATCCACTAACAGCTGTTGTACTGATCATGTTGAGATAAATAAAACTATCACATTCAACCAATTAAAAAAAATATATAGATTATTTGTAAAAAAAAAAAAAAATCTTTACATATGAATTCACAATACAACTAAATATGCTTTTAATTTTTACAAATTTATGGAGTAACATTGAAGCTCGTAACTGTACCACACTTAACTACTTCTCAAGGCACCATTGATACACTCCCCTAAATCAGTGTGTCTTGTCTGTTTACTGTTTTTTGGACAGATGGAGGAACTTTCATTTTGAGGAATAAAGTTAGGTATGCCAAAAAGAGTCATAATGGCAATTCTTTGAATATAATAAATGAGATGAAACACCTTTCTCTCCATCTGAGGAGAGCCTCTAGAAGAGGGACAGGAGTATGCCGTGCAATCATAGCCAACGAATCCAATACTTGTTCATAGGCTGGGTCTGATGGTCGAAGGTACTGTCCATCCTGTGTTTTGAGAAGTGAAAGAAATTTCATATCAGGTATGGATTAGAATCGTCAAATTTAAAGATTTAAGTAGACTTTTTCAAATTAAAAAAAAAACTTTTGCTGCTACCTGTAATAAAAAAAGAAGAAAACATCTTTTCAAACCCTAGTACGGGTGCAATGCACAACCATAATGCAAAAAATACATATAGAAATCTCCACGTAGAGAGAATGGACGTGGTCATACTGAACATTGATACAAGAACAAATACCAGAACAATGTCTATAACAAAATCTTGAAGAAACCTATACGTCCATAATATTAGTTTGAGGTTCAAGTCACAGAAATGAGTAATTGAGAATGATAGCAGGTAAGAAGGATTCTTACTTGAGCTTGAGCAGTTTCAATACGACGCCGAGCAAGCGGAAGAAACCTCTGCAGCAAAGCATCAACGATCAGCTTTGCTGCACTCCCAGCCTTCATATTCTCTTAATGAGTACTGAGCTTCAAGTCCAGACTTGGGATTTCATATCAAGCGTAAAACGTTCACTCTGAACCTAACATAATCAACCCTCACTTGGAAAATATAGAAAACAAACTAAAAGAATGAACGGATGAATTAAATTCCGAAATTGCTCTGGAAATTTGGAAAATGAAAATAGGTGAACACGAAGGGAGCAATCGTACATGCACAACGGTAAATCTGAAGAACTGAAGCTAGGAGACGAACCTGAGTTAACCAAAGAACAGAACGATCCCCCTTCGTTGTACATTAGTAATTTTCAGAGATGAAAAAACAGATACTCTTTACAAAGATTTTTTCCCTGGCAAGATATTTCAGATGTATCTTTGTTGGTTCAATCAACCAAAAGGATGAACTTTTGGTAAATTACTGGACCGGGGTTAAGGTAGGCAGGTAGCTTTAACCGGTTCGGCTGGAGATGACATATATGAGCTGTGACAAGTGACAACCAATATAAAACTGGCCTATAATATTGGAGGAATGAATTGGAAAGTTGAATGGTTGTTCCAATAGCTAAATGGCAGTTATACTCTATACGCTGATGTTTATAACTTTATTCCATTGGACAGGATAGTGCATTCTCTCAGCGCCACTCCCATCACAAACAATTAAAAAAAAGAACTAATTCCATTTGTACAATTAGTGTACATAAATAAATATAGCTCATAAACTTTAAAGAAATACACATTCAACTATTCATCTCCTTCTCCCTTGCCCATAATCTCTTATAAACTATATAGTTTGGATCCAATAATTCATCATTTGGTGCTTTCATTGAGATGAATTATCATGAGACACGAGAAATGTACTATTTTAATCCTCTTCATCACATTACTTTTGCCTTAAGGGGTGGGGAATGTGAAGAATGAGGGACTCAACGACCTTGTTTGTATTTTGGCGGATCAGGACCTAACCGCTGCTTTTAGCAGCGTTTTCCTTCACAAAAAATGGCGGATTGAAACATAACACGCTAATATCCAAACAAACCCAACGTCATTGTGAATCAAAAAAACACAAACTCAAACTTTTAGCAAATGTCCCTACGTGCATCGACCGCACTATTACATGGATGATCAAGACAAAGCTATACTACTCTTTCGCCTCGAGTACTCTCGCATCGGGGAGTGAAAGACTCCTGATATGGTACATGGACTCGAACCTCGGGTTTCAATGCTATTAAACTTGGACAGCGGCTCACAAGTGTTAATTAGATTGCATTTATATTCTTGTACACTTTACATATCCATTTACATTTTTACAAAGTATTAGAGTAGCCTTTTATCTAGTTTGGCCTATTGGGCTCATATTAGCGGCCTGGTCCACATTTCATATATATAGCTTGAAACCATAAACTCATATTCGCACATGCACATTCATAATCCCTGCTAAATTGTATACATGATTTTGATAGATCGTAGTTGTTGATCAAGTTCCAAGAACAGTCAATTTTATTAAACAAGCATATTTGAGTCGGTTATATCAAGTCCCGTAATAGAAATCATACATTGTCAACCTTGTTTGAGAATAGTCGGTTCAGTTTCTTAGTTCTTTTTCTATAAAGATAAATAACATTACATTAGCATAGTAGCTAGTAACAGCATTTTCAAACTAAATACGGAGTAAAAAAATAACGTCACATAAAAATTAGAAATAAAAGTAAAACAAAATTTGAAATTTCCAACAAAAAGTCTCATAGCAAGTCTACAAGCTAAATGTCACTACACAAATGCCTAAGAGATAAAAATTAAAGCATACTTAATCTCTAACTGTAAGTAAAACTAGAATGGTTAAATAAATTTGATTAAGGAAAATCTACACTTCAAATGAGAAATTGAGGACAATGAGTTAAGACAAATCTTCATGTCAGGCCGGCCTGACGGGATGCTCCGTCCGGCCGAGCCCGTTTGGGCATCTTCCCAGTGGAATTTTTTGATGAAATTTTGTGAGCATGTTCCTCATCAAGTCTAGTTTGTCCATACCAAATTTCAGCTCAAAATTCGATCGGGAAGGCATTCAAATAATTTTTTGAAGTTGACTGCAGTTTTATATGTATATTTTGACGCAGTCAACTTCAAAAAATGATTTGAATGCATTCCCGATCGAATTTTGAGCTGAAATTTGGTATGGACAAACTAGACTTGATGAGGAACATGCTCAAAAAATTTCATCAAAAAATTTCACCGGGAAGGTGCCCAAACGGGCTCGGCCGGACGGGGCATCCCGTCAGGCCGGCCTGACATGAAGAGCACTCATGATTTAAAACCCTATATGAACTTTGAAACTCTTAGTAATGGACTCGAAGGTTTGAACTCAACTCAGAGGTTCTTTTTTAGAGCCTTTCCTAAAATACATAAACATGAACGATTTTAGTATTTTAAATATAATGGAGCTAATTAATATTTCGTATCTTTTTTTTAATTGAAGACATATTTGGTTCCAATTTTTTCAAAACTCTCTGCACCCACTGAGTTGATTTTTCTTAAATTAATTAGAATCAGGTCCTAAATCATAGCTAATCCATATGATCTAAACCAGACTGTGATTCTTATACCCATTCATTTGTCCACCTTAATTTTGGATGTTCTCTTTCAGATTGTTTTCAATCCCAGACCAGACCAGACTTTCATAGTTGCAAAATATATAGAGACCGAACATTTACCAGACCAGTTCAGACCATACCAGATCAGATCCGACCAGCAAATTTCGATCCAAAAGAAAACATCCTTTACCCGCAATTCTTCTCCCAATTTCTTCTCTTCTCTTTCTTTTCTATTTTCCAAATTTATTTGTTTTTCTTATTTTTTCAGTTCACCTCTTGAATTAAACACTTTTATAAAAATAACTTTGCATAATCATGTTTTATTAGATATGTTTTCCTTTAGAAATAGCATTTTTTATTACACCATTTATGTCTTCCATATATGTTGCAAACAATGTGTGAATGTGTGAGCGCCTACTTTATTTTTCTTCAATTTAAGTAATTTACATGATGGCAGTGTCACAAAGAAAAGTTTGATTGACAAAGTGAATAAGCTGTTTTCAACTTTTCATATTAATAGAATATTAGAATGTATATTTGGATCTATTGACACATTGAGATACATGGAGCCTTATTAAGTTGGATCTTATTCAATCTAATGTCAACGCTCCTATTACTCTATTAGTGTCTGAGTGCTATTGAAATGTGCAGAGTGCTATTGAAATGTGCAGAAAAATCTTGGTCTTTTCATCTTGATCAAAGGCCAAAATAGACAGACATCATGCCCATCTCCGGGGTGCAGAGAAGCCATGTCTATCTATTTGACAAATTCATCAAATTTTCTTCGAAACAATAAATGGCGAGGTTATTTTGTACTACGTACATAATAAGTAACATAATTAAACTACAAGGTTCTGTTGGTACTTAAACGCTGACTTCCCAATTGTACAAAATTCGTTTAACAAAACATATACTACGCATCAGTTACAAAAACGCTATACAGTTGAAGAAAGTGAATATAGGTGTGGCCCAATGACAACTTAGATGGATGTGGGGAGTACGATCAGTCCTGACCATACTCTTTCATCAGTTTCATGATTGCTCAGAAACTGCGCATAGATCTAACCAAATTGCACATTTCCTTAAGTCCCATATGAGAGAAGCTGGGAGAAAAACAGCTGAAAGCAAGGAGTGTTGTCGAAGGCAGCATTTCAAACAAGGTGTAATGGCGCACACAACTTGTCCTGAAGAACATATTAGTCCATGGCAAAAAGGGTCTTCTGTGTCAATAGCCATAGCGGTCATTCAAAGAGGTCCGCCCATCACCGGATTGTCCTGGTTTAATCATTAATTATGTCAAGGAAAGATAAAAATACAAATATAGCATAAACATGGAACCGAATATTAGCAAGCATCTGTTCGTAGCAGATTATCTTCGCATATATAAATTTTAACTTCAAGAATTGCTATCAAACAATAAGTATATAAAATTTACTATTAGATTTGATATCAAACAATACCTTATTTGAAATGCTGGCTGAATTAGCCGATAAGGCAATTATAGCAAAAAACAACACTTCTGGCCGAAATGGCAGGAAATGACATTTTTACCCTCTCTTCATATACTCCGTAATCCGTATTACTTTCTTCAACTACTTGTTTTTTTACATGCCTATAAAGAAAATTGTGTTTGGGTAGGAGGCATTTATCTAGAAAAGGAAAGAAACAATAGCGATCATTCATTTCTTTCTTTAGAAGAAAATAAGACGATAAACTGTAGAGGCGGAGTGGGCAAAGGAAAGAGGGAAGATTTATTTGGTAAGGTGGGAGTAACTTTTCAATTAGAGCCTTTTAGTAATGGTTGTTAGACGGGAATAGCTTAATCATCCGAAAGGAAAAGGGATCGCGAGAATCCATTTCAGCCAAATAAGTCAAAAGCTACTTATGGATTATTCTGTGGAGATTAACGCTACCAAATGGGATCTTGTTCCTACCATAAACTGTAAAGATGAAAAATAGAAGTTTTACCTTCAGGGGGAACCCAGGTTTCATAGCCTACTCCACTTCCCAAAAACGGTGGCCTATCGGGACCAACAACTTTTTTAGGCTTTTTCTTATTCTTCTCCACGGGACTGTCACATGGTACCTTGTCATTGACATGCCCATTGTCATCATCATCAGAAGCATGATATCCTCTTGAATGTTTTAACAACAGGGCAACAGCTTCCTCAGCCTTCATGTCGACTCCAGAAGATTGTGTCTCATCTTTAGCAAATTCATTGGAGGCAGCACCAAGCTTGTCTTGTTTCCGCTTCCTTATTATAAGACCAGGGGCTGCATTTTCAATAACTGATGCCTCTGGGTTTTTCACTATCCTCTCCCTGTCTTTGTAGTCCACAAATTGATCATCCTCTTGTTGCACATCTGGACGTGACTCTACCACCGCAGTTTCTTTCCTTTTCTCTTCCTCAACAGCTCCGAGCCACTGTGGCTTAGCAATGGTGTACTCAACAGTTTTATTGCCACCATCTGCTGCAGTTTCATCTTTCATATTCTCTTTGCTGGATTCAGAAATAACAACAATACCCTCTTTCTTGATTGAGGGGATCGGCTTCTCTGCACATCTTTGACTCTGTTTTGCAGGAAGATGCGGGACATTAGATGGGTTGACTTTGGGCAGTTCAGTCTTCGGCTCCTGAGATTTTATCTCCCTCTTTCTAGCAGCTTCTCCTGATGGATCAGCAATCTTCAGCAAGTAGAGTATCCTATCTAGCTCTGATTGAAGTGCAGACAGTTCCTTGTGCAGCCGATCCTTCTTCTCATAATCTGATATTTTAAAAATATCACAGCCAGTAAAATAGAGTAACAGGACAGCCACAACATGAGTATTAGGGAGGTAATATTAAGGGTATTTTGGATCTTAGAATATGCTAAGAAATTTGAGAGAAAATATGGAAATAAACAAAATGTAAAGGAAAAACAACGTCGTTTAACAACTAATATATCTATATGTGTGTGACTTTTATAAAAAATAATCCATTTTTATTTTCCTTCACATGTGTAGGATACAGGCAAACATAATAATTTCCCTAAGCAATTTTTAGGGAAAATTTCCCTAAGCAGTTATTCCTCCCTTTCGTTAGAATTCCTGACATCCAAGCCTGAAAGAAGCATAATTATCATGAAAATCATAAAGAAATAGGCTGATACAAAGAGAACAATAAATAAAAAATAATTGTCCATGCAAGTGAGCCTGCTGAGTGCTAATATGTTCCCTTTCAGAGAAACAAAATGAAATGTACCTGCATGTTGGAATACAATGATACAAACAAAGAACGTACCAATGTACTTACTACATACCTAGTTGAGATGAAAGCCCTGACATGTATAAATCGAGGTCGTCACCAGCTTCAAGGCTCTCCTTCACTTCACCGGTATCATTATCCTCTGAAAGTAACAGCTTTCTTTTTTCTTCCATCTCACTGACTAAAGCATCCTTCTTATCTAGGAGAGAATCTGCAGTTTCAATTGATTGGTTTTCACCACTCTTTTTCTTAGCAGATTTCTTTGTCCGATCATAGAACTCATCATCATCACTGACCGGTCAAAATACCATGTTTGTTAATACATCAATAGATCAAATGAACATATAACTGATATCAAGTACAATAGAGCAATAGATCACATAACAAAAAGTCTACAAGTCCTACAACAATGAAGAGTTTCATGTATTTAATACCTCACATACTCTTCTTCTTCATCTACTCCTTTTTTCTTTCCAAGAGACACTCTTCCAGCACGTGCACCCAGACTCTCTCGAATGCTTTCATTTAAAGTCTCTTCCAAGTTTTCTAGCTCCTCCATTATCTATTGAGAAAGAAATATCAATGCTGGAGAGTCAGAATAAGTCCTGGTTTTATGAGAATTGGTAATAATTTCATATTGTGCATCTTGGCTAGTATTTTAGGAAGCTAGGGGGGAATTTCTTAATATGTTTCAGTTCCTGTCCTGAACTAATGAAGGGCAGTTGAAGCCACTAGGCTAATTGATGTAATACTAAAAATGAAATGTAATCTTCTAAAGGACTTTGTTAAGTTTAGCAAAAAAGAGCATTCAAAAAAGGTTCTCATAGAGGAGAGGGGACATTCTCAAGGATCCTAATTAACGCATGAGTCTTCATAATATTACTATTTGTTCCCTATTATTAGTATTACTAATTACTAATAGTTTCATATTTGTATTAATATTTTGTTTTAGTTAATATTTCTATCAGCAATATTGTATTATACTAGGAATATATTTATAAAATTTACGTGCTCGCAAGACTTTGTGAATGGTATAAAGAGGTTTGTCTTCATCTATGATCATTAATCAATAATATCGTACAATTCTAGGATAAATTACATATATCAGTATCAATACCTGTGAGATCCTCTGTTCATTCCGAGCAATCTGCGTTTGTTGTCCCTGTGTCAGTCCACCTTGAGCAATGTCCTTTGCCCTGATAGCATCTATCTCCTTTTTCATATGAGCAATCTAGAAACAAACAAAAAAGATTGAACACCTAGTGTAAGCAAAAGACTACTTCAAGTGTAACATTCAAAGACACATCATATAAAGAAACATAAGAATAAAGACACACCATCTGAAGCAATAAAAGGCCTCACATATGCCGTCAATCATCAATGCAGTTAAGTGTACTTTAAGGACTGGTGTAATGTCAAACCAGCTTGATTCAAAAATAAACATGTAAGCTAACAGGAGCAGTTACCTTTTCAAGTCTCTTTATTACTTTATCACGTGTTTTCTCCTGCTTCTCCGTTAATTGACCCTTGTATGTTTGCCAAGTTATTTCTTCAATTTCATCCTGAAACATCAGATGTATCCAGCATTATTTCAATTAAGTGCAAAACGCTTCTGAGGAACTTTGTACCGAATAGTAAAATCTGCACAAGAAATGTTACAATGAATTTTACACCTAACTGAGTGATGAAGTTGAATGTAGCATTGCAAACGTCAAACGGACCAAACACACAACAACATCCAAGCCTTAGTCCCAAAAGATATTGGGGTTGGCTAACATGAATCGATATATGATATCACCAAAAGGAAAAGAACGAAAATAAAGATAAAAAAGATAAGCTATTATAAAAAAAGATAATATAAAAGAGATGAATATACATATAAAAGATCAAATAAAAAGGATAAAGTAATATTTATATATAAGGATAAAAATATACAAGAAAAAGAAAAAAAAAGGAGAAAAGATGATACAAGATCACTCTTCCACACGAATACCCGCCCTCCATTTTGCTCTCTCCAAAGCCATACTCTCATCCAATCCAAGAAGAAGCATATCACTTCTGACTCCCCTAACCCACGTCTGTTTGGGCCTTCCTCTCCCTCTCTTCCCTACCTCTTCTCCACACATCTCAACTCGTCTGACAGGTGCATCACTCGGTCTTCTATGCACATGACCAAACCACCGTAGGCGTGACTCCCGCATCTTATCTTCAATAGGTGCTACTCCCACCCTTTGTCTAATTGTCTCATTCCTCACGCGGTCCTATCTAGTATGCCCACACATCCAACGCAGCATGCGCATCTCTGCCACACTCATCTTTTGAATGTGACATTGTTTCACCGCCCAACACTCCGTGCCATACAATAATGCAGGCCTAATTGCTGTCCTATAAAATTTACCCTTCAGTCTAGTCGGCATACATCGATCGCATAGAAATCATGACGCACTCTTCCACTTCATCCACCCTGTTCTGATTCTATGGGATACATCTCCATCTAACTCACCGTCCTTCTGAATTATGGAGCCCAAGTAACGGAACATATCGCTGACCGGTATCTCCTTACCATCTAAAGTAATTCCGCTATTACCACTGCTTCTACCTCCACCAAACTTGCACTCCATGTACTCTGTCTTGCTTCTACTTAGTCTGAAACCCTTGTTCTCCAATGTCTGTCGCCATACTTCTAACTTTGCTTTAACCCCTGATTGCGTCTCATCAATCAATACAATATCGTCGGCAAACATCATGCACCACGGTATATCGTCTTGAATTGACTTTGTAAGTTCATCCATGACTATGGCAAATAAAACGGACCAAACACAAAATGGAGAAAATTAATAAATGAGATCAGTAACTAATAAAAGTGAGGAAAAAACTGGCATATACAGAAAACTATATGGTGCATGTAGAAGTATTTAAAGGGAAGTAAACCAGCATTAAGCTGCTTTAGAATAGCAATTAAACAGCCTCCAAGAGTTGAAGGGTTGTATGTCTTTGGTATTTCTACATATCTGGTCATGTACACCAGATTATTCACGTCTTGAACTAAAAGGATGAAATGAAGAGATCAATGGAATCCTTGGGATTTTTCTTTCTCCTTTGAAGTTGAGGAGTTTTCCTTCTCGATTTCTTCATAATTCTTTCTTGAATGATTTATTAGCAAAGATAAACTCCTTTTCATAATAGGGTTGCAACTTGCAAGAATAGAAGTACTTTATGCAAGGTACATATAAAATCCTAGCAAATGACAGCAAATCACTTGCTACGTACTAAAATAGATAAGCTAACAAAGGTATTATAAAATAAAAACAAGAATAAACCAATCAACCATATTTGAGGAAATCAATCAGCCATATCACTTCCCTCAATCTTCTACTTCATATCTCTTTTATTCTTTCCAAAATTTTATCATGTAGCATGCATCATATATTGATATAAACTCTTACATGCTGAGCAGGAATAAGACAACTGAAATCATCATGAGATAAGGTGATAAGGAGTATGATAGGAATCAGCCTAGTCAGTATTTTATTAAGGGGCAGAATAAGAGAAATAAGGTGTCTAAGGGGTCAAATAGCTAATTAGTTGTTTGTTTGGTCCCTGCGTGGCCTGTTACTATAAATAGAAGTGGAGGGTAGCTAAAGAAGGCAGGCTGTTATTGAATTGGCATTTTAGGTTTGGAGAGTGGGCTTCTCAAACAGTCCCAAGGCTTTGTTTATGTTCTGTGATTTTCTCTTATTCAATAAACATCTTTCAATCTATTCCCTCCATATTTCCCTAGATCTGTTGCTATTTGCTTGATTAATTCCAGAGTCCTATCAGAGTACAAGATAAGACTTCAAAATCTGACAAAAGTGGATACAAGAAATTCAAAAATACTTCTTTGCTATAGCTTAACTGAATAACTACATCTTAGACAAATGATAATAAACAGTCAAGCAAACCTCATCTAGTTCAATGGCATCCTCACGCATTCCCCATGAGACGCCATCAGCAAGTGATGCTTCTAGTTTTGCTCGCATCAGTGACTCTTCCATATCTTGCATCCCTGCTCGGATCTTAGCCCGCCTTATACTTTTCAGGTCACTTTCCTTCATGAGAAATATCAGGATTAATATTATAACTGATAACACGTCATACGGATGAAAGTTGGGTGCATAAGCAGCAACACACCATAATGATGTTAAGCATAAGTTTATTATATTTGTATATATAATAAGTTAGCCAAACCACTTCTTTACTTTTAGTTCATCTTTAGATGATGATAAATCTGATAAGTATTCCAGGTATATCATCAGTACGATACACATAGACAAAGAGAGTGAAGTCTCTTACAGGGGGCATCAAGTCATTTGGACCTTGGAAAACGTATAGCCGGGAAGACCTGCCCAAAACTTTCAAAGTAAAATATGTATACCAATCACCAAAAAATGCAAAAGCCTGTGCTAATACACAAAATAATACACATTTCATGTCATTTGCTTTGTCTAGAAGAATTAACTAGTTCCAATTTGTCAACAATCATAAATATAAATGCCACCATTGCCACGAAAGTTTCAGACTACAATTCCTTAGCAAATAATCTCTTTTTAACCGGTTTCTGGAAAAAAATAAGCAGATAGTCAGAAACTGGCACAAGTTGAGTGTCAGTGTGTCAGATGGCTCACATTTTTGTTAGGCGTGAATATGCCCCAAATTCTAAATTAGTTTGGGGGTAATTAAGCCATCTTTTATCTTTTATTTAAATGAAAATAATTTTTAAATGCGTCTTAGAGTGAGAAACAACCCATGCATAATTATTAATACCAGGTCAAAGTTCGAATGTGTAAAAAGTAACATTTAGAAAAGAAGATTATAGCTCAATTATAATCATCTAAATTATACTCCCTCCGTCCCTTAGAACATCTTCACCCTTGCTTTTGGCACGCAAATTAAGAAAATGAGGTTGTATGTTTGAGAGCTATTTAGAAAGGAAAGAAACAATATCAACCACACAATTCTTTCTTTAAAGGGAGATAATATAGGAATGGATGAAAATGGCATGTGTATAGAACTGCACATAATTTAGGTCCCATTATTTTCTTCCAACTTTCCTTTTTGGTATGTCCCAAAATTTTCTTCCAATTTTCCTTTTCCGTATGTCCCAAAAATTTCTTCTTATTTTCTTTCAAGGAAAGATTTATGTGTTGGGTATCGCTTCTCTCCTTTTCACATCAACCACAACCATACACTTCAAATTTTTTAGCCAACACAAATGCATAGTTCACAGTTGCATCATACATTAGGTAGTCAAGCTTATGCCGCCACAAACAATATCCTCAAATTATATAGGTATCCTGTATGGAGAGCACATAAAATTATGAAAAAAAACAAAGAAAATAAGTTTCAGGTCAGTACTTACTGTCCAAACCGGATTACATCGCCAACATGCAGCTCCATGTAAGCCCTTTTTTTAACCTATGTAATAGTGTACAGTCATCAGACAATACTTTTATCAAGTGCATAAATAAAGATACACTCCATATGAGATAATGAACTTTACAGGATAGCTAGTAGATGGACCCAAGCATGCTCAGAAAAATAATCAGTAATTAAATGGTAAATAGAACCACATAATATGGCTGAAAAGAGATAAAGTTTATACACTACTAATACATGTTTATGAAATGGGAAAGCTATTTGTTGTCATGCATAATATCATGCTAAATTGGCACTCTTAGGGTGGGTTGGTTTGAGGGGAAGAGAGCATTCCTCTGATTTGGGAAGAAGGGAAAACAGGGATGGGGGAGAAGAAAGGTAAGCTCCCCCTTCCTCCTTATTTTTTAACCAAATAAGAAGAGAAGAGAATCTTCCCTGAGTCCCTCCCTTCCCCTTGAACAAAACAACCCTTTAATGACTCTAGTTTTACAAATTCTTCAATAGAGACCCTGTGCATCAACTAAGCACATGGAAAGAGCACTCTGAATATCAGTACTTTGAACTTTCTTACATAGAAGTATACATTTGTGCTTGCAGTTCTGTAAACATAAGATGTGACAATCTGAAAAACACTACTAAAACCTTTTCACATGAAACTACTAAAGGTTTGATCTAGGCATCAAAGCAAAGACCTGGTTTTTGTTTATAAACGTCCCATGCGTACTGCCTAAATCATATAGGTAAGCATCTCCACTGCCCTTGAACTGCAAAACTGAAAAGATGGGTGTACATAAACAAAACACATGAATGATTTGATCAGACATAAAAAAAATTATACTGAAAGATGGGGTTAGAAGAACCATGTCATCTTCAACTACCACGAGAACATATGACTATCTCCCTAATTCTCTATTACTGAACATATGTGGGCAAGTGTAATACTCCCTCAACTTCATATCCAGTGTTTCTTAAATGTAATGCATACAAATAAAGAAAACCATTGGATATCCTACATTTTTGCAAGAGAATAGATTTATACCTAAAACTATCCAGCTATCCTTGATAAATCATCCTGGAATATCCATATATTAGAACTTAAGTAGTTACTTTAATTGAAAATTATGATGAAGGAGAAGGGAAAAGTGTAATAACTACTCCGTGTTAAATGCCCTCTTGCTTTATGTTTTATGAAGTGATACATGTTATAAAAGAATAAGGTAAACCAAACGATACTTGATATGAATCCTGCGGGTGGTAATATCAAATAAACAGCATTGAAGTAAAAGTATTATTAGTGATAAGTGACAGTCCAAATTATAATAGTCAAGATAGTACCGATGTTGGTAAACTGTGGTTGGAGCCTGGGAGGAATGAATATTCACAAGTTGAATACTATTTCATAAGTTGTCACTTGTCAGTCCCAAGTGTTAGTAAAATTGTCAGGCACTAAGTATTTACTTGTACTTATGTAGACCTGATATCAGGTCAGCCAGAACCATAACTTGCTTACAGAGCCATTATATGGAAAGGCCAACAATTTTTCCAACAACAAAAACAGAAAAAAGGAAAAATATTTTTTTAGCAAAAATATGTATGGTGTTAGGATTCATACCAGCATGAAATCTAGATATTGTGGGATGCTCGAGGACAAAATCACAAAGATCCACACGTCCAAACATGTAAGCCCCCTTCTTGTTTCTGGAAGCAAATCACACCAAAAACAGAAAGTAAGAACAAACGACAAGCCACTTAATGAAATGTGAATGGCAATAACGTTTCAGATAAGCTGATGTTTTGAAATAACTGCTAACCTTGGTGGAAAAATAGAACAGAAAATGAAAGCTTCGTGAAATCCAAAAAATAAAAGGCATTGTATTTAGAACAGATTGTAGTGTATGAATTGAGAAAAATCAAGGAGTCAAGCAAGAAAGGTGAGGGTGTGCATAAAATAAGAAAAAAGAAATATGCATGAAACTTGAAAAAAACAATTGATCGACAACATTCATGGTAAGATTTCACACCTGGAACACAAACTCCCTATTACTCCCTCCATCTCATTTTACTTGTCTTACTTTCCTCTTTGGGTTGTCCCAAAATAAGTGTCGCCTTTCCCTTTTGGAAAGAAATATGTGGTTCACAACATTCCACTTTATTATACTTAAAAATTGTGTCAAAACCAAATGAGACGCATAAAATGGGACGAGTAGTATTATTTTACTATAGCCTTTCAGCCTAAGAGAAATCAAACTGTCTTAGATGAATATGAATATTTTTCTATGAGCTGCGAAATGGTAGCAAACATGTCCGACTGCAGTAAATTTGTTAATTACAGATGTAACCGTAGGAAATTAGAATCATCAAAGTTGAAGGAACTACTGTTAACTGAACATAACTGACATATGAAGCGCCCTTACACGTCGAGTTGATCAATGATCGATCCTTCCTTAAGAACTTCCAGGTAATAGCTATGGCACGGAGGTTCACTCCATATAGGAATTGTATACGGCACTTCAGGTTTAGAGCGCGACTCGTGTTTCTTCTCTGCCTCATCGCGATCATTCTCAGAAACAGAGCTATTGCTAGAGCTCGGGACGGGATTTTCATCTTCGGAATCGTTCTGGGAACCACCAGTGTTCCTCAATTCCGATTTCTCTACAATAGGGTTTAGGTTTTCTGAAGGTGGACTGGGCTCACTTTGCGACGGTTCTAAGGCTGGATCTTCTGGAACTGTCGGAGGTTCAGCAGTGGTGGCAAAGTCTCTGGAAGGAGGAGGACCCATGAATGACGACGTCATAATGGAGCAATTAAGCAACGGGAACAAGTAAGGTCGTCGGGGTTTGACCGGAGAATGAACAGTGGAAACCTAGATAGGAGCAACCCGACGTCGACAAAGTGTCCAACTAATTTAACGAACCTATTGTCAATGATCCACTTGGTCGGAAGAGGTCCTAAATTGATAAATTCAACTTGAAACCAAGATTTACTATGTTTTCTTTTGAAATAAATTTTTTTTTAATGAAATTTACTAGTCTGGTGGCTGATGTGGTATCTATTATTTTATAACTGTTCAAATTTGATCTGATTTAATCTGTTAAAGTATGATTTGTGATTGAAATTCAATTTATATCATTCATTCAATTGGTTCTGAAAGGCCGTGAAGATGGGATGCCATCATGTTTAGAACATCCAATGATCCAAACATTCCAAAGTCAAAATTTTCCTCAATCTCGCCTCCCGAGATTCTCAATCTAGATATTCCAAATTTTGACAATTCTGATAAACTAAGTTGTTATTTCGTGGGAATGTGTATTATCGGAATTGAAGTATTAACAAACTCAAATAAGTTTGTTATTTACCAATAGGTTGGTCTTACATTATTTTCTCTGTTATGTTGTTGTTCACAAGTGGTTTGAATTTACTATATTAATTTGTTGAGTGCTATGGAGCAATGGTGTAATAGTATGTCATGATAACATGCGAAAATTATAAGGTTTTTCTATGTTTTATATGATAGCAATTCACTACTTCACTCCGGGTCCAAATGATGAGACACTGAAATCAAGATATCAAGTGTCATTGTGGGTTAGAATTACTAGCAAAGGGTTAGGCAGCGATATGAGATGCACATAGATACCGAGGTGGAGGGTTGCATAGGGAGTGGCTCTATCAATGGTACCTTGAGTTGGGTGATCACACACTCAGAGGCATTAGGCCTGATAAGCTTGTCCCATTACTTGGACTAATATACTTTTAAAGTATGTTAAGAGAAATGGTCCAAGATAGGAGTAAAACAAGGCCCATATTTCCAAATAGGAGCCCTTGTTTTTTATTACTTAAATATGAGTGTTTTTAATATGACTAGACACATTTACCCTCCTATAATTTAATGGTCGTATCTCATATGCTCGATGCTTCCATTCTCTCCTTTTCAAATTAGAAGAGCACATAAGCAGAGCAACTCGTTCATGTGCTTTTAAAGTTTTCGTCGGAGGTGGAGCACATCCCGGTCAAAAAACAGAGGCGGCACAACGTACTGTACGGCGGCGGAGCTAGGGGGCGGAGCTGGACGCCTAGGTGAGCTTTCTTCTCCTGATTCTTCTTCTTGTCCATCTTCTACTCCATCTTCTTCTCCCTCCTCTCTTATCTTTTTCTCTTGATTTAGATTGAAAATTATAAGGACTATTTGAGATCTGCAAATTTTAGATTGAAAATTATTTCAATTATTTGAAATCTGCGAATTTCAGATTTCAATTTTTTATTCAGTTTTTATTTTTATTTTTTCTATTCCTAATAATTTATTTTAAAAAATAACTTTACTTTTTTTGAAAATGGAAGTTAGAACAAATATCATTTTTTTGTCCTTCCCTTTATCAAGATGGCAAAAACATTAGTACAGTGTCATCTTATATAATAAGAAAATGTCACTTTGACAAATAATACTATTTTTATAGCATGACTATATCAAGATGGCAATATAAAAAAAATTAGTTCCATCATTTTTATTATTAAACTGCCATCTTATCATATGAAATCCCATTTTTATCTGAATATGCCATATTTTTTATTTGTAAATGTCATATTTTTAGATCTACAAATGCCATGTTTTCTTATACTTAAATGCCATTTTTAATTAATAGGATATATAATGTCATTTTTATCAAGATGGCAATGTTGCCGGAAGAGACGGTCAAAGTGGTGAACACTTGCCGGAGGGAGGCGACTGTAGATGAACATTTACCAGAGCTCAACGGCTGCAGACGTCGGCGGTGGCAGGTCCCTGAAGGTGGCAGCAGCGTGGAGTTGATGGCAGTGGGTCCCTGGAGGGAACGGACTCGTCAGATGCTTGTGATTGTGGTTTTTCTGGACTTCGACGACGGCAAACTCGCCGGTCGAAGGCGGCGGTATCGCCGGACAGAGGTGGCGGTATCGTCACTGTACAGCCAATGAAGAATAGATAAGAGGCAGCTAGGGTTTTGATGTGTTATTAACATATTTTTCTATTTTTTAATTGTAAATAAGTCTGGAATTTCATTAAGGGTATTTTAGTCGGTCAATACAATTTTACTCCTATTCTGGAGTATTAAACATTGAACTCTTATTTTTGCACATATTCAATGTTTTACTCCTATCAAGGTAATTACCCTGTATGTTAAGGGCAAACTCCTGAAATAAGAGTAACTTTTTTTGTAATTCTAAATATGAGTTTATGTTTTCATTGTCTAAATAGAAGTAATTACTGTCAACAATGGAAAATACTTCCATACTTAAAACCCGATAATGTCAAAAGATGGCATTAATTACTTATATTTAGGCGGTGTAGTAATCTTATTTTCAAATTCACAAACATTTTTACTCATATTTAGGGCGATTTCTTGTTTGCTAATTGTTGAAGTTTATTCCCGAAGATCTGAAAGCCCAACACAAGCTTTGGATATTGTAGGGATGTTAGGTTGGTTTAAAGAATATAGAAAATATAAAACAGTGAGATATTATCCAACTCAGGAGCCCACTTGTATTCAATAATTCTGTGATTACACTGAGATTACCCGAACGGTAGGTAAGTACCAGAATACAAGAACAAGAGAAGTGTTTCAACTTGCTAAGCTCTGAGTATTAAAATGCTAACTCTTTACAATGTATTCAATGCGGGTATTTATACTAAAATGGGGATGGGAAAGCTGGACACGTGGCTGAATCTGGTAGGCTATGCCCCCTGCCACGTATGCACTCATGCCTCCACTTGCTGCCGCCATGCTTCAGCATTAAATGCGGCCTCCACTTGTTGACTACCCGTTCGGGTAGGGTGTTCGATATTGGGATATCCCATTATTGTTGTCCTGAGAGCCAATATCCCGAACGCCGCTCGGTGTGCGGCACCCCGTCAAGAATGCGGGTGTAGTTATTCCCCGAAATGTTCCAAGTGTATGAATTGTGCCGAACGCCGAACGGGTCTGGACTACTTTGGGCCTTCTGTTTCTTCTTGGTTTCCTCATACTTTGGGCCGAGGATATTGGGCCTGGACCCAATATCCCAACACTAATTAAATTGGAACTTTTATAAAAAGTGACACATTGGTAACTACTAGTCACATTTAAAATGTAAAAGTTATCACTTCTTGTTTTCTACCTTGCTTTTAGTAAAATTCAACTATAAACATGTCTCACACAATAATTATTTGAATTGGGTAGTGGTGTATTTGTTGTTATACTTTGTCAAAAAACAAATACTGAGTAAATGAGTAACTACTTGACCATGCATCAGAAAGAATAATAAGATGATGATGCAAATTTCTAATGATCCTGGTCTCTTAGAAGTCTTTGATGTAAAACAAAATATAATATTTAAAAATAATAATATAATTTACAATGATTACAGAACGGCGCAGCGGCAACAACACCCGAAGATGAAGTTTTCCGACACGCGCGGCCACTTTCATATCTAATCTAATTTTCTAAGCTCTCGCAAGCAATAAGAAAAAATCTATGATTTTCAAGAGAAGTACTCCATTGACAATATTTCAACAAACAGAGTTTGATGTTTCATTTATCGATCATTTTTCACTTAAAAAACACTACTTGGTGTGTGTGGTATTCGGTGTGCATGAGTAAATTTTCCTAGTCGATGATGTGAATTCTTGTATTGGATTGTGATTTGAATAATGAGCACTGTGTTCTTAAATATTAGGGAGAGTAGCTAATTAATTATGAGAGATTCCAAAAATCTAGAATTCTAGTGTTCGAGGCATTTAAGTGAATTATTTAGTTTTGAAAATATGTGGATCAATATTTGATACCTCGTATGTGATTTTTCCTCATTTTCATTGGAGCCAATCACTATTTTTTGGCTTGGGAGCATGATGGAGTAAAGCAAAATGGTTTACTGAACAGTTTGCGCTTCTTTGTTATGAAACAGTCGTTAGTTCATGTAATTTTCAACGCAATTTTAATCATGTGTCACTCGGAAACAGACTCTCTATATTTAGTATAGGGATAAGGTTGCTTACATTCGACCCCCTTGCTCCACCGATTAGATATTAGACTTGGTGCGATGGTTTAAATAGCAAAGGAAAATGGTCACGGTTATTCACAAGAAAGAAAATTCATTTAAAGTTATAGCCATTAGTAATATCTATTCATTAAAAGTTGGAACCCATAGAAGTACATGACTCTGTACTTGAAGTGGTTAATACATCGTAATGTGAATCTTTGCTCATCTAAGATGGCATATTGTGCTACAAGGCTGTATTTGGAAACTCTTTCTCCAGTTGATTTGATCGAAGATGCATCGATTAGATATATATCATCAAGGTTCCACAGTTTTATGAGATGTCTACATATTTGTTGAGGCACACAAAAATGTATGCTTACGGTTAGAAGAATGTTTTTATAGTACCACTCAAAGCATGAGGATTTGGGAGTTGGATCACGCAAAATTTTCTTGGTTGAGACAAGTAGGATGTTGTTGAGGTACTTTTTGTCTCTTTATATATTATCAAGAGAAAGGTTTGAATACTCTCCTAGTAAAGCATTGTCACTCATCCGGGAGGAGGTAAAAGATGAATGGTCCACAGATCTCTGAGAATGGAAATAAAAGGGAAGCAAATTCAACTCATTGATTCAACCAATATGTATACTCCTATATATAGATATATAAAAAGACATTCACATTTATACTATACATGCAAAAACTTTTGGTCTTTTGATCGAAAAAGATTCCACGAGAGTGAGTTTCAGGCACGAACAAGATCATTTATGTGCTTTGGAAGGCAAACAGATGTACCATTGATACGCATCGTCGCAAAGGTCCTATAAAAAGCTTCTGTGGGATGATAGGCATCCCAGAAATAGTGTTTGTCGACATCAGGACACGGCTTCATTTCTGGTATGCATCCTGAAGCCCCCTGCCTCCATGTTGTGCAACAAGGATTACTTGGATCTGTCAAACCTATACATGTCAACTCAAAAGTCATTAGTTCAATTTAAGTAGAGGTTATCACTTAAAAACACTATTATCAGCTTTTTAAGTCAAAAATTGATGAATATCACTTCTTCTTCTTTATTTTTTTGCAAACATGTCGTTAGTCTCAAAGTATATTAAAATCAGTTTCCCATTTTGTTTGAATAGTTGACATGAACAGAAAATGACTCGCCTAACGTTATTATTTTATTTTGTTGAGAAGGTATAATACAAATGCACATTTAAAAAATTTAAAATGCTCTTGGGTTAGCTTAGTCATATGACTCAACAATTTTAGTAAATTCAATCACTTTAATCATTTCACTCTAACTTATCAATCGTTTAAAGTGGATTGATTAGGTTGCTCTTATTTGTGTAGCAATTTGAAGATATATCTCCCTACCATTATGTGTCAAAACTCAAAAGTATATGCTCATTATAAATAAGCTTCAATTTATTATACTAAAATGAATATAACCACATGTTATCATTTTTCCATTCACAAACAAATATGTAATACAAGAATTGAGATTAATTTATATTTATCGTATGTAGAAGGAGTTTTGATGGCGTCATAGCTAAGCCAGTGAGCACGACCGAGTATAAATTGGGAATCTTGGAGAGTTGTGCTCAAGTTTTTCAACATGGCTTCAAGCTGCTCGTTAAACATCACTACAAGCTGGTTGTACTCATCAACACATCCCTCATTTCGGCGCTTGAACAAGGGAAGGCAACCAATTGGCCCAATCTCAAATACCACAATTTTTCTTGCTCCTAATCCATATAGCTTCTGCTTACCGCGGGCTTATTAAACATAAAGTTACACCTTCCATCCTCCATATAGGAGACAGTTTTGTATGATGTAAAATAATTATTTTGCATGTAAAATATAAGATTTTGTGAACGGTTTACACCGTTTGGTTTGATTATTTAAGCCAATTGAAATACGCTTTTTAAAATATTGTAATGTACCATGTAAAATATTTTACGTGAGGGAAGGTTAGTAGAATACTTTTCATGATTCTAGTAAAGCATTGCATTCATATTGCGTGTAATAATAAATTACATACATGTCCAAACAATTTATTTTTATTTTAAATGTAAAATGATTGTTTCCCAAAACTTTCTATGCAATAAGATTTTATCATGAAAACTACCAAAAGAACCCAAGCTCGATTAAAAGGGTACATTCTAAGTTACCTGGAATTGAATTGAGAGTGTATTGACAAGAAGTTCAGCGAAGTTTCGAGGAGTGTGACTTCTACTGGTATCATAAATGCTAGGAAGAAGGTAGTTGTTAATGTAGTCGTTACTCCCTATAGCAATGAGGAAAATGGAGTTTGACAAGTAATCTGAAAGCTCCTTTGTGCTCTTGTAGTATCTTGATAGCTGCATCCCCATTGTTTGGTTGAACATGTCAACTTGTTCTGATATACTCAAACACTTTCCCTGCAATACATGTCATGTGTGTGCTAATATTTTACTAGGTACCGCCCCTTGAAACTTTGTCATTTTTATATTTGAGTATTCTATTCAATGATGGTAAACATTGAACAATGATTTTGATTAGTACTCCCTCTTTCCCACAAAACTTGGCCATATTGATTTTTATCATTGATGGTCAATTTTGAACATAGTACATTTTATCAAAGTTTTTAGTCACTCCAAATATAGTGCATTTTGTTTAACATCTCCTTATAATTGTTTTTGTTTTTCTTCTCTGTAATTTATGTTGATTTTCTTTTTAGTACTCCATCGCCGATGTTGACAACCTCCGTTTGACCTAAAAATAACCTCTAATAGGTTTCCTCTAATTCTTTGTCATGTTATTCACAAAAATATTTAATTTTAATTTTTAGAAAGTTTTTAATATATATATTTTAAATGTGAATAATTAGTTTTACATTTTTTAACTCTCATATTAGCATCATATTAAACACTTCTAAGTAGAATGATTTCGGAGTTAGAGATGGACTAAAAACAAAATAGTGCATATTACAGTGATGAAAAACAAACAAAATGTATGGACCTAAAACAAAGTGTTTCATATTTGCAGAATTGCAGGGATTAAAACCATATTTAAGCCTTATTAATATAAAATTATTTATAATACAAAATTTATACGGAAATACTTTTTGTTAAAAATATTTTCATAATTAATACTTGTACTACATAGTATACAATTTATAAATCAAACAAAAATAATTATTAAAATTATTTTTCAGAGTTCACTATCATTGATAAAGAAAAGTCAAATATAACGTTATATATTACTTTCACTTAGTTCTTGATGATTATTTTTATATTTGTCAATTAAAAATTATTAGGCAATGTCCAAAGTAAAGAAAGAGAGTCAATTAAAGAATCAAGAGCAACACATTACGGTATCAAAGTCTTTTGCTAGACTTGCTACAGAAGAGGTATCATAGTTTGTTTTTTCAAATTTTCAAAAAAAGATTGTTTTTTCAAAGTAATTGTGGTGATCAAATTTTCGTAAATGAGTTGAATTTTCAATATGATTTCTAATTATGTAAACCTAACTTTAGATTTTTATACTTATTTATTCAAGTATTGGCAAAGAAAACAATTGCTTTAGTAAATTATAAGGATGATTTTAATAAGATTGAAATTTTCTGATCTCATCTTCTTTGGTCTGTGTTGTTTAAGTTTGGTCTAATCTGGGATCGTAACCTGCCCAATTGAGTACATAAATGGAAAGTTCTCTTAATATGACTAAAAACGTTTTGGAATTTCAAAATAGGTTGTCATTTTTTATTCCCTAAATAGGAGTATTAATGCTAAACTTAGAAAATACTAATGTCATGTTTAAAGTTTGGTAATGACAAACATGACACTACTCTTATCTAAAGAATAAAAGATGGTGGTTCTATTTTGAATTCACAAATGCTTGTATTCATATTGGGCAATTTCTAACACATAAAGGGTAATAATAGCATTAGAGACCTCTAAGAGTCGAGTGTCCTTTCATCATCCGAACTATTTGCACCATAAAAAAATTGCATTTGAAATATGATTTCAATTTACTGTATGGAGATGTTTTTGGTTTAAAAAATTATTTAAATCATGTTTGAGAAGATCTTATATATTGTGTAATGACTAAAAGGGGATGAAGGGGTACTAAGTTTTTATATATTTTTTTTTTATTTTTGCAAAAAAATTGGAAGGAAAAAAATAAAATGTTTAATGACATTTTGGTCTAAAGATAACAAAAGAAAAGGCAAAATGCTAAAATCAAGAAACTACTAGACACATATGGTTAGGGTATGAAGTCTATGGCATTCTAAAGGGTTATTTTCATATACCTTCCTTGAGGTTTTGGTATTTGACCCTTTGAAACAAAGTATCAATATAATATTGATAACCTCCTCCTCCTTAAATTAGTATCCATTTAAAAATAACATAGATTAGTCACAAAAGTTTTAATGCCATGCCACTGTTTCTGTTGGAATTAGTAAATCAACGAAATATACATAAGTACATAACATCAACAACTAACCCACTAGATGTTTAAGGAAAGCAAAAAATGGCTTCTAATACCAAAAGCACCACGTATGAGAGGGGAAATTTTTCCGATGCTTAACTTATTAGCAGTCTTATGCCATAATAATTAGTAATTACTCTTATACTTAAAAGTACTACATATGAGAAAAAATTCTTTCGCTCAATTTTTAGGCAGCTCATGGTCTAATATGTAATCTAATCTAATCTAATACTTAAAAGCACTCCGCATGAGCAAGAAACTTTTTTGCGCTCAATTTTCTCACTCACACCTAAAACCAATTAACAATTGAGCGGCACAATTTTTTCACTCATACATAGTGCTTTTACATATTAGAATACTTATTAGGCCATAAGCCCGCTAAAAACTTGACTGGGTAGTGCTTTAATAATTTCTAAATGCGTAGTGATTTTAAAAATTAGATTCTATTACATATTAGACCATGAGCCGACTAAAAATTGAGCGAGAGAATTTTCTCTCATATGTACTGCTTTTAGGTATTTCCATCATTTGCAATGGAGCCAAATATTCATTATTTTTTGGTTTGAGAATATGATGGAATAAAACAAAGTGGCTCACTAAACTGTCTGGCTTCTTTGTTATGAAGCAGCAGTCAATCCATGCAATTTTGATTGCGATTTTCACTATGGGTCATCCGGAAACAGTCTCTATGTGCTTTAGTACAGGGGTAAGACTACGTACATCCGACCCCCCTTACCCCACCGTAGATGGGAGCCTTTGCGGCACTAGGGTAAATGAAAATGAAATGAAATGAAATGAAATGTAGTGCTTTTAGGTATTAGGTTAAATATTACGTCACAAGCCTGCTAATAAATTGATTGGAAGAATTTCCTCTCTCATACGTAGTGCTTCTAAGTATTAGAATACTCTTTAGGCCACAAGCCGACTAATCAATTGAGCAGGAAATTTTTCACTGTCATACATAATGCTTTTAGATATTACATAATTTATTAGGCCACAAGCCGGCTGATAAATTGAGTGGGGGAATTTTTACAGACTTTTAAATAACTGTTATCTTTTAGTGACTGAAAAGATCTTAAAAGTAAAAGGTCGTAGCTGTTAGGTAAAAAGCTGACTGTTTGGTTTAGTTTTGTTGGTATACAAGTTTTTGGACTAATTAATGCTAGAAGCAACAAACTTTTCTCAGATGCTACTCCATGTAGCATCTCAAAAAAGATCTTTATTTTTCGAAAAGCTCTTAAAAGTTGTCATACCAAACATAGAACTAGGATCTTTTAAGAACTTTGTAAATAGTACAAAAGCTAGAAGACATAGACTTATGCCTCCCAAACATAACCTACCTATTAGGCCATAAGTCGGCTAAGAAATTGAGCGTTAGAATTTCTCTCTTTCATGTGTAGTGCTTTTAGGTGTTACATTAGATTAGATTACATATTAGATCATGACCGAGCTAAAATTTTAGCGGAAGAATTCCTCCTTCATATGTAGTGCTTTTAGGTATTAGATTGACTATTGGAACATAAGTATGCTAATAAATTAAGAAGGAGAAATTTCTCTCTCTAAGTAGCACTTTTAAGTATTAGATGCCCTTTTTGTTTACTTTAGTCATCTAGTGGGTTAGTTGTTGATGTTATGTATATTGAGAGTAATTTACTAATTGTATTTAATTTGTTCCCAAAGTTATGTAGCATTTGAGATTAAAAAAGAATCATTTGAATTGAAACTGATGTGACTAATGTATGTTATTTTTATATAGCTCCTTGGTAATTTAGGGATGAGGGGGTTATTAATAATATATTCATACTTTACCTCAAAGTGTCAAATGACAAAACCTCAAGGGAGGTATATGAAAATAAGTAAATAACCCCATTCCAAAACACTCATGTGGCTAAAAATACATGTATAGAACTAAAACTCATGATAACTCTCAATGTATCATCATCATTATAATTATTTTTCAATATGTGACGAGACACATATGGATCCAAATAAGAAAAATAAAATGTTTGATGGTATGTAATTATGCATACATGCCATTGCATATGCCATATTAGGAAAAATTAGTCAAAATACTTTTCTCTTTTTCTAATTTGATTCAGTGTTGAAACTTTTTTTATTTCGAAATGCTAAAACTGTTTAATTTTTATATGTAATTTTGTAAAAAAAACGTTTGATTTGAAGATGTATTGGTCCAAACTCCAAATATAACAAAATAAATAACGTTAAAATCAAGAATTTATGACCTTAGTTTTTGATTTAGCACTTTCATCGCTCAGCCAAATAGTACACAAAATGAAGTTTTGATCAAGCTACAAAATTGTTTAGCCAAAAACATTTTATAAATTAATAAAAATGATTGGATTACTCACAAAATCATTGCCAGTTTCGCGCAAAATACCGCACGATCCAGATGCATAGTTCATCCCTGTGATGTGCACTGATCTTTGCAAACTCAAGTAAGGAGGAGGAAACGGCAAACCAAGAAACTCAGCAATGAAATCAGCCACTGTTTTCCCATTTGTGAATCTTACAGTGGCTCCAGCCGCAAAATCGGCTCCATAAGGAAAGTAGTTTGATTTAGCAAATGTCGGGAGAAGATTGTTGTTTCCGTTGTCGAGCAATGAATCTCTGAAGACGTACAAGGCCGGTGCTAGAGGAGGTTCTTGCGGTATGGCGAACTGAAAATGTGTGAAAAGGGCAATATAAAATAATCTTAACTTCTCCATAAGAGGGAAATAATTAGGTAGTACATAGATGAAGAATGCGGCATTATATACTATTACATGTTTGATGTTTGTAATAAGATTTTGGTGTTTCATTCTAATAAGAGAAGTAGAAAGTATTATTATATAGTTGTATCAAATCGAGATAAACTCTTAAGCATCATGTTAGTATACCACGAACAGATATGTTTTCATCATCATTACCCCAGTGCCGCAAAGGCTCCCACCTACGATGGGGTAAGGGAGGTCGGATGTACGCAGTCTTACCCCTGTACTAAAGTACATAGAGACTGTTTCCGAATGACCCATAGTGAAAATAGCGTCGAAAATTGCATAGACTAACTATTGCTTCATAACAAAGAAGCTCAGGCATTTTAGTGAGTCATTTTGCTTTATTTCATCATATTCTCAAGCCAAAATATAGTGAGTCTTTGGCTCCATTGGAAATGATGGAATCACGATCAGATATGTTATTTGACAGTAATTTTATTTGTATTTATGCTAACATTGGGTGATCATAATATAATTAGTTCTCAGAGATGAATACAATTTTTGGTAGGGGATATGATATGTTTTAACCGCTCACGCAATTTTGTTTCTCAGTCATATGCGTTACGGCACGACACCTTGATTTTCACAATAGAATGCATATATTGAAACATGCACAATGTTTGATGGTTAATAAAGTTTGCTCCTTTTTCCGGAATTGATGGTGCTTGAGAAAAACTCAATTGAGTCGTGCCATGGCTTTAGTTACTTTTGAATCATCATTACATCTAAATTTGTATGTAGAACCATAACACACTTGTTACATGACATCTTAAAACTTGTGCTGCAAGATTTTTTTTGGGCAATTCTTTCTAACCTATTATAGTATTTGTTCTATGTTAATGTCAGCATCCTTGAACTGAGATGGGATTCGAACATGTGACCTCCTCCTTGGGAGTTTCACTGTGATGTCATCAGACCACAAGGTACTTGGTTTGTACTGCAAGATTGATTTACTTAATTTTGACAAATTTATCTCTAGAGTTGTTTGGTTATAAAATTAGGCACAATCCACACAAAATCAATACACATGCATGCTTTAATATCACTAATCTTTAAATAGAATTTTTTTCAAAAAACGAAGCAAAAATGCCCCCCCCCCCCATTTATTTCAGAAACATATAATGCATGAGTTGTTTAAATAGTACTCCCTCCGCCCCATTGTTATGGCCCCACTGCTTTTTACGATGTTTGACCGACGATAAAGCAAATGGATATCTGTTCGCACTCAAATTATTTTTAGAAATAAAAACATATTTAGAAACTATATTAAAAGTTTTACAAAGTCATCAAAACTATAATCAAATTTGATAAAAATTTGATATATAAAGTAAGAAATTAAGAGTGATTTGTGTTGATCAAGTGAATAGGAAATATGGGACGGAGAGAGTAATATTTAGTCCATCAATTTTCCCGTCATGTTAAACTTAATAAACTAGATTGAATGTTCTTACTTTTTTTCGCAAATTCTTGAGAGTTTATCTTATTCCGATCTAACATTACTTTTTCTATTAAGCCCTTCTGATGAGACGATGGAGGTTACTTGTTATTTTAACTTTTGGGTTTTCACTTCATTATATACATGTATAATTACTTTTTATAAATACTTGATCGGTTCTTATTAAATGACAATTTAATTTAGAACATACACTTGTCATTACATGAATTTTATCAATAAAATGTTCAATAGGTTAGTAGCTAGTAATATAAAATTATCAAAGAATTGTACTCCGTATTTTAGAACTAACGTATTTTTCATAAAGTACATGAGCTATGCAAAATTTGAACTTTTACAACTATTACAGATTACAGAATATAATTATTATTATTCAGGATAGTTATGGCATATATGCTTAATAAAATATCTCTACTAAGTTTTGTTCCTCATTAATTTATTAATTATACTATTTTTATGAAAAATAATTGATGTGTCTTGTGCACAATTAATAATATAATTACAAACACCTTTAGGCTATGTTTGGTTTAACAAATTGAAGATCAAGACTATTGTCTGATTTGGAGACTTTTGTCTGGCGTTGGCCGGATCAAAATTATTAAAAGTGATATGCTAGCTAAATGTAGTAGATCACTTGTTTGCCTACACGGAGGAGATAAAGACAAAAAGAATGTAAAATTACCATAAAAGCGTTTTAATCAACAAGATAAATTTTGAAAAAAGGGAAGAACATAATAATGACATGAACTTATTGTAAATTAAAGAGCTGAACTAATTAAAACGCTATTGTTAGTAACATTCAAACCAACTGATTAGTTTTAGATTCAGTCAAGTTTAGATCTTCATCCAAACAAAGCTATTTGTGAATTGAATGATTAGATTGATCAAATTTTAGCTTATGTCAAACTGAAATCATCATGCAAACATAAACTTGATGAATTGTTGTCCATGATTATAGGACACTTATTAATTTATAGATTTCAATGTTTTTCATTGGATGTATATATACTCCTCATATAAATTATTTGTGCATTAATCAGAAAGTCCACACTTTTAAATTATTACTACCTCCGGTTTTTTTAATCTTCACAGTTTTACTTCACATAAAATAAGAAAAGAAATTTGACTTTACTGTAGAGTACACTGTTGAGGCACTGTTTGGCACTGTAGAGACACTGTTTGGCACTGTTGAGACACTGTTTGACACTATTTGGCACTGTTTTGATGTAGATTTCTTTGCCAAAAAAGAAATAAGGAAGTGTAAAGTTTATTTTAGACCGTCCCAAAAATGAAAGTGTGAAGTTTATTAAAAACCGGAGGGAGATTATTATTACTAGATAGTGATTTTGGTAATCTCAAAATCACTTAAAATGACCCCTCAACAATCATTTTCAAATAATTTGATTTTTAAGCCCTTTGTTCTCACTTCTTAGGGGCATGTTTGGCACAACTAGATGAAAAGATACTTTTACAGACTTTTTAGTAACCGTTAACTTTTAGTTATCGAAAAGATCTTAAAAGTAAAAGGTCATAGCTGTTTGGTAAAAAGATGAGTGTTTGGTTTAGTTCTTTTTAGTATACAAGCTGTTGGGACTAATTAATGCTAAAAGTCACAGATTTTTCTAAGATGTTACTCCCTCTAGCATCTCAAAAAAGATCTTTTATTTTTTGAAAAGCTCTTAAAACTTGTCATACCAAACACATAACCAGAAGCTTTTAGGGTCTTTTTAAATAATACAAAAGTTAGAAAGCAGAGACTTATGTCTGCTAAACATAGCCTAGATCTAGTCTAGTTTCATAAAAAACTCAAAATAATATTGACTCCTATTTGATCACAAGTTATCATGAAGAACAATCAGGTTAAATAATCTCTCTCACTCGATTATGCCTTCAGGAATAACTTATCACATCACCAACTTTATCTTTTTTTATCTTAAGCAGTTGTTGCCCATTATTATTGGACACTTAGGGGGTGTTTGGATCTGATTCTTAAAACTGCTCCTGCTCCTTCAGGGAGCAGAAGCAGAAGATGTAGTATTTGGATGAAAGTGCAGAAGTGATTCTGGTACTCCAATATATTCCTAGAATCAGTTTTTTAGAAGCTGGAGGTGACCAACTTCTAAAACTGATTGCGATTCTACTTTTGCTTTAAAAAAGAAGCTGAAGCAGAATGAGTTCCAAACACCCTTATTACTTTAAATATTTCACATTTAGATCCTTTATTGGTTGGATATACTACACATGTAAATTATTAAATGATTCTTGCATTAGTCAGTCTACACTTTTAAAATATTACTATAGTACTTTTAATCATCTTAAATCGTTGAAATGACCCTCAACTATGATCTAGAAGTAATTTATTTATTTGAAGGCCTTTGTGCTTACTTCTTAGCAATTGCTTCACAAAAATCTTAAAATAATATCGATTCCTATACATCTTTATCCGAGTATAGACAACTAATGTTTGTATACATGCATCAATTTGCGTGCAAACCACATTGACTAGCATGCCTTTTTGCAGAAATGTTTGGTTGAACTTGCACATAAATTAATGTACTCCCTCCGTCCCGGAAACAAGTTCCACCTTTCCTTTTCGGGCAGTACCAAAATTAAGTTCCACTTTCAAACATTTCCTTATTTGGCAAATCATCTACATCAAAACAGTGCAAAACAGTGTCAAGCAGTGCCAAACAGTGTTCAAACAGTGCAGAACAAGGCACTCCACAGTAAAGGCAAATTTATTTTCTTAATATGTGTGAAGTCAAACCAGGAACTTAATTCAGAACCGGAGGGGGTATGTGCATAGATGTTAATTATCTATATACCGACATTAGTCGTCTATATACAGACATAAAATGTTGTGTTTATACGATTTTTGTCTTTGAGTAACATTTTTTGTGAATTGTAGATAGTTAATGTATGTATATAGACAACTTGTGTTTGTGCAGAGCCACCAAATTGATGTGAACGATCGAAACCAATGTCTGTATACATATGTTTTTGTCTGTGGAGCAGGTTTATAAAATATTTCGACACAGACAAACATTTCAATAATTGTTCATCTAATTTTCTGGTGACTTTCTGGCAATTCTCAAATTTTATTTGTTTTTCCTGGTGCACTGACAAAAAAAAAGGTGAAGGTTGTGAAGATGTTGGTGAAGATTGTGTACGAATAGATGGTAAACGGGAAGAAAAGGAAAGTAGGGAAGAATGGAAGATGATGAAGGCGAAAGAAAGAGGGAGGGAGGGAGGGAGACCATTATATAAGGTGTGCCAAAAAGTGTCCATGTGAAAGAGAAAAAGATAGGACGGTTGGTTTAAAAGGATCTTTATATAGATGTACAAATTAAGGTGTATACCTAGCATTTTTTCAAAATATACGCTAATACTATACTACTCCGTATTACTTTTACGGATGGTCCTCATGACAAGTCACAAGTAACAACAGAAAACATGTGAGTGAAAAAACATCAATTCATGCCCTTACACCTCAAACA